TATATAATGCACTAGAAGAGAGTTCTTTTTGATATATTTGTCATCCATTATGCATTCCCATTTCATGCGTGAATTTTTACCTTCAAATTTTACGTCTTATTTTTAACGACATCTTATTTATTTCATCGAGAATTGTAATTACTATTATTCAGAGGTGTATTTGTAGGTGTGTAACGAGAATTCGCTTTTTAAAAATTTGGCACGTTACCTAGTTAAGCGACGTGACTTTCCGCTTTGGGCTCAAGTGTTGGCTGAAGATAATCAACATAGGAGACAGTTAATTGATCAAGTTTGCTTTCAAATCTTTTTCTACCTGAATTTTAGTTTTTATTCTCACTTATGGATATGCTGAATATGATTTCAAGCATCGTAATATAAAATTTTTTTCAATGTGGATATAAAATTATTTAAAATTTTAAATATTACATTTGCGTGCTACTTTACATTTAACACTTAATGTGAAGTATTAAATGCCTATTCAAAAGGAAACACAAAGAAGTTGGAGAGGAATCTGGTAAGTATATGAAGAAATAAGATTGGATTGGAACAGTTGATGATTTGCTTAAAAACGTGTAGTAACTTAATTTTCAGGTAGTTCAAACGGCTCTTTCGGAAACCCAAGATCCAGAAGATATTTCAGCAACGGTGAAGGCTTTTATGGCTGCTGATTTACCGAATGAATTAATTGAGCTGTTGGAGAAAATAGTCCTTGACAACTCTGTCTTTTCAGAGCATAGGTAATTTTTGTAGCAGCGATAGATTCAAATCGGTAGCCATTTTAAGATTGCAATAAAGACATGATATTTTCGGTTATTAATATTGTTTAGCTTTTTCATAATTGATGAGTTTCAATATGTTTCACTTAGCAATTATTAGAATAATGTTACAGGAACCTTCAAAATTTGCTTATTCTGACAGCAATTAAAGCAGATCGTACACGTGTTATGGAGTACATCCAAAAGCTGGACAATTACGATGCACCAGACATCGCCAATATTGCTGTTTCCAATCAGTTATATGAAGAAGCATTTGCCATTTTCAAAAAATTTGATGTCAACACTGCAGCAGTCAATGTTCGTTGCCATCTGTTTGTTTCACATTTATCACTGAGTCGTCCTTTTTTATCATGTGATCATGTGTATTTAGAACTTAGAATGTCAAATGGTCCATTATTTGCGGAGATTTAAACTAAGCTGTTATGATGTAGTTGTCAAGCAGTTGTTATATGAAGTACATTCTGAACTTATTTCTTTGGATGAGCATGATAGAGTTTTGATTTTTCTGCAGTTTATGATCAAAAGGTTTTTTTCTCATCCGAAATGAATTCTCAAATCAATTTATTATTTATAATAAAAATCATCTTAATGCAGGTGCTGATTGATAATGTATCCAATTTGGATCGCGCTTACGAATTTGCGGAGCGTTGTAATGAACCTGGCGTTTGGGCATCGCTAGCAAAAGCGCAGTTGAAGGAGGGTTTAGTAAAAGAAGCTGTGGATTCATTCATTAAAGCTGATGATCCCACTGCATATATGGAAGTTGTCAACAAATGTTCAGAAACTGGTTAGCACTCATTTATTGATGCAAATTTTTGATTTAAATTTGTTTTACCTCATCTCTGTATCGACACTTTCTGATCATTACTTGGTTGTGAGAAAATTTGATCATCCAACCAATATCACTTTACTGTTTCAGGAAATTGGGAGGATTTGGTCCGATATTTGCAAATGGCGCGAAAGAAATCGAGAGAATCATACATAGAAACAGAACTGGTCTATGCCTATGCAAAAACAAATCGTCTTGCTGATCTAGAGGAATTCATTTCGGGGCCTAATCATGCCCAAATTCAGCAAATAGGTGATCGATGTTTTGAGAGTGGAATGTATGAAGCAGCCAAAATTCTTCACAACAATATATCAAATTTCGCCAAATTGTCAGTCACACTTGTTCGACTTAACGAATTTCAAGGTGCAGTTGATGCTGCTCGTAAAGCAAATTCAACGAAAACATGGAAGCAAGTAAGTTCATGTATTGTGCTCGATATTTATAGTGATAATGATAACAAAACGGATTGAGGATATATTCGGCGCAGAAAACATTAGTTGTATCTAAATTGAACTTGAGTATAAATCAGTTTGCTAGTAGTTAATCATGCTGCAGTGAATTTGCAGAAGTAAAAAAACACGAAACAAAAGTGCATTCGTCTTAGATTTATAAATTTTCATGACTTTACAAATTGGGGGATAATGAATTATTATTCAGGTTTGTTTTGCTTGCGTTGATAACGAAGAATTTCGTTTGGCACAGATGTGCGGCCTTCATATCGTCGTACATGCAGATGAGCTCGAAGAACTAATCAATTATTATCAAGTTTGCATTCATTTGCAGTTTTTTTTATTTTAAATGTTTTGGAATTTTAAGATGTATTTTAACTTTTGTTCAAACTTAGCTTCGTTTAGGTTGAATAGTTAAAAAGAGGGAAAGGAAGAGAAACAAGACTTGCTCCTTAAAAACCGCCGCTTTTTCTTTAAAATTACACTGTGAATTGTTCTAGGAACGAGGATACTTCGAAGAATTGATTGGTCTGCTAGAGGCAGCATTGGGTTTGGAAAGAGCACATATGGGAATGTTTACTGAATTGGCAATTCTCTACAGCAAATATAAGGCGGAGAAAATGCGCGAGCATCTTGAACTGTTCTGGAGTCGAGTTAATATTCCAAAAGTGAATTTTTGTACTCCTTATTTATAGATTATGGGATTTGAACTCCTTTAATTTACCTTAATAAACGATTAGGAACAGAAAGTTTTTCGTATTAGAGATAAATGGAATATCACCAGCCTCAATGTATTGTTCATGTATACTTAGGTTCATTTATGGAGTTTAAGTCCCATGTATATTTGAATTAATAAAATTTGGTTTTAGGTTTTACGTGCTGCGGAACAAGCTCACCTATGGTCTGAACTTGTCTTTCTTTATGATAAATATGAAGAATACGACAATGCGGCCCAAACAATGATGCAACATCCAGCGGAAGCGTGGCGAGAGCAGCACTTTAAGGAAGTGATCACTAAGGTAATTGACGTAGGATACATTTTAATTTCTGTTTTTGCATCTTTTGTTGTAAAGTTTAAAATTACTTTAAAAAATTATATTATTGTTTACATTTTTATAGGTAGCGAACATAGAACTGTATTATAAGGCAATGCAATTCTATTTGGATTATAAGCCGATGTTGTTGAATGATCTGTTACTTGTGCTAACACCACGACTTGATCATTCGCGAACCGTATCATTCTTTGCCAAGTGTTTGTTTTTTGTTCTTTAAGAAGTTTTATCTCTCATATTATGTCGGTGTTGTTAATAGCTAATCTTAATACCAGCAATAACAGAAATACCATTATCAAAGTGATTTTAATTGTTTGTATTTTAATCAGTTTATTTTCAGTGAATCAGCTGCCTCTCGTGAAGCCCTATTTACGTCAAGTACAGACTCAAAATAACAAGTCAGTAAATGAAGCTTTAAATCAAGTTCTCATTGATGAAGAGGATTATGCTGGCCTTCGCGCTTCTATTGATGCTTATGATAACTTTGATAATATTTCTTTGGCGCAACAACTTGAAAAACACGAATTGCTCGAGTTTAGACGCATATCTGCTTATTTGTACAGAGGAAATAATAGGTGGAAGCAAAGCGTTGAGCTCTGCAAGAAAGATAAATTGTACAAGGTGAATGCTTCCAGCAGTCTGAATTTCTTTAGATATAATAACATTGGATTTGTAATTTTAGAATACTCTAAAAATTTAACATTTCAGGATGCAATGGAATATGCTGCGGAATCTCGACAACCTGAAATAGCTGAAGAATTGTTAGCTTATTTCCTCGAAAATAAATTACATGACTGCTTTGCAGCCTCACTTTACCAAATGTATGATTTATTGCACCCAGATGTTATACTGGAATTAGCATGGAAACATAAAATTATGGACTTTGCGATGCCTTATATGATTCAAGTAATGCGCGATTATCACAGCAGGGTATGTATTATTTGTAAACCTAGCTTTGCATACTCTTGCAGCAGTTGCTGTGGTAATTATATCAGTAGATATAGGTAGCAACAATTTATCAGGGAAATTGATGCTTGCTGTCTATTGACATTGTTTGAGCTTGACCTTTACGAGCTGGGAAAACTCTTGTTCAAAAACACTACAAAAGAGTGATTTGTGTATTTTTAATAAGTTAAGACCTGGTCTGGAGTATAATACAAATTGAAACTTATGAGATAAAGTAATACCAGTTTAAAAAATGTTACGTAATTTGAATGTTTGGATGTTTACTTATTGCAACTTCAGTTCTTTTCTAGCATTGTTAATTGAAAACTTTAGATTGGAAAATTGGAAAGAGCTGAAGCAGAGAGAAAAGAGGAGGTTCAAGGAAATCAGCAACCGAATGGAAGCATGAGTTAGTGCTTTATGTGGGATTGGAGCTACTGACTTCTTATTCTTAGGTATTTGGGGGTTATTGAAATTTTAAATTTTGATGGAGCTTACGTGAGTTTTTTCATAGCCTTCATCGAATTCTATCACAGTCTTTTTTGGAAGATTATAGTGACTAATTGTTGGTGTAGACGAACGCTGAATTTATAATTGATAAAATACTGTTGCAGTGGAACCACAGTTAATGTTGACGTTCCCGGGAGGTACACCAATAGGTCCAGTTCCGCAAATGCCTGGAACATACGGTTCAGTAGTATCTGGCGGTCCTTATTGTGGTGCTGCACCAGCAACAAATGCTTATGGAACACCGATGTATCCAAGTGGTGGTTCGTATGCTATGTAGTCACCGATATTTCCCTTTCAAACTTGAAGATTGGTTCGTTTCTTTTTTTTGAGTTTGGTTTTGCAGTAACGAGCATCGGTTCCTGTTGTTAAAAGACGAATTTATTTCACTCTTTATTTATTATTTCTTGTTATTTTCATTTTTTGGAAATTTGGCTTTCATTATCTGTTTTTTATTTTGCAGAAATTATGAACATCAAAGTAGGCTTCTAGATAAGAAATGTACTTTGACAAGAAATCCTTCAAAGATATAGTGAATCTTTTTGAATTTGCGGTTTTATTATAATTTTCGGACATCGAAATTTTTAAAAAGTTTTAAGGTATTTTGGGAATGATCTGTAAATGAAGAGCAGTAAAACGGAAGTAGCTACTTCACTTCTTTTGCGATTTTTATCTGCTTGGTATAGTCCATATAGGAATAATATATATTAAAATTGTGATCATTTATTTACTCTTTTAATTTGCAATGCTTGTTTGTATTATACAACGCACCATGTGCTAGTGATCAGCGCTGTGTTATCCTGAAGATTAACTAAATGCGTCTTTTTTGTGTATATTCACAGTGCCCTATTCTTTTATGTAAAACAAATATCAGTCTGTTGTTGTGTTCACTCATCTTTCTTCTCTGTACACAATAAAAATTTTCTATTGAATTTTTTAACACACTTTCAGTTCCTTCAAAATTATTCCAAGAACATGTATTTAATACTCTTTTCCCATTCGTAAAATGTCAATGTATAATCGATATAATTTTTAAAAAAAGACTTTCCTGAAAAAAGATTTCTTATATTATTGTTGGAAGCTTATAAACCAAGCTTATAAACATTAAAGAGGTATTAGAAACTACCTAATTTCTTCATCATTGTCATTTATGGCAATTCCATTAGAAATTTTTGGAGGGTGTATAAGGCGGTTTCAGTTATTCAAATTTTGTTAATTAGACTTACAAGTGGACTTAATCCAATTCAAGCTGCACAACGGAAAGTAAGTCGAATTGAGATTTAAGTCTACTTATACTCTTACAAGCAAGCCGGATAAATAAAAGGCGAAAGGCCGACGATATAGTGAAGCCATAAGTTCGATTTCAGGAATAAATTTTATTACTCCATCCCAAAGAAGTATAAATTTCAAGAAATCGAAAATGCGTAATAAGAAAAAGACAGTGGCAGATAAACGATGCATAATGCAAGGCAAATACATTTTTCTCCGTTTGCTTTTCTTTCTCTTTCCCTTTTCTTTCCTCTTCTCTCTTGATAAATTTTCGCATTGAATATTATTTTTACAAGGACTGGTACATGACATGTTACCTGATTTGTTTACATTTTTTTGCTATGATGAAATAATGATTTTATATGCAGCTATTTAGAGTTATTTCTCGATCGGATTGTATCATATTGTTATCATCTTACAACGATCAATGTGAAGTAAGTGTCGGTTAGTTTTAGTACAATCAACGTAGATATGCCATATATAAAATATGAATCCATATGTAATAGATAACTTCAGCAAGCTTATGTGTCAACGAGTTTTAGTATCGATTATCATTTAATCGACTAATCTAATGGATTGTTTGCATAATTCAACGATCATCATCGCTTTATGGAATATTGTGAGTTTTATTTTTATTAAATAATGATTACTATGTTAAATCGGTATTTCAATTAGGTCGATATATTAATAAGATGAGTAGAATGATATAGTTTATGTAGTAGTAAAGATAATAAATATTTTATCATAATAAAAGGATCTATTCTATTCTCTAAATTGTAGTATTTATCATCCTTAATTTCATCAGAAAGTTATATGAAGAAAGATATTTCCAAATGACTCACTCAGATTGAATAATATTTTTAGATTTATTCCATTCTCCAAATTATAATATTTGCATGGCAAACGAAATATGTTAAAAATCGACAGTGGGAATTCGAAAATCGACAGATTCCTTCTGACGGAACGTATGCTTTCAATTTGATAATTTTCCGTTTCGATTTCAAAAATTTTTTTATCTATATTCTTATTATGTGGCTTGCATAAATATGCATAAGTTCTATTTAAGAAGTCTTATTTCATATCTACAGTTTCCTGAATTAATAGCAAATTTAATTATTCAATTATTTCTTATGTATTGTTTATTTGCAACTATTCATTCTATTTTGCTTTATTTCTTAAAGCTAGTAAATATAGCTAGTACTACTACTACTACTAAGTATTGAGGGAAATATTTTATTACACAGTATTTCAGAGTAGCACAGAGTAATAATGGGACGATTTCTATCTTCTCAAACTTACTATCACATATATTTGCAGAAGTTCAGATCAGTTATGCTTCATTTTAGCTTTAATGGTTTTCAAGCTCGCTTTCCTGGACTTTATGGCATTTTAACAGAAACTCCAGAAAGACGTCGTATAAATGGTTAATTTCTTTTTTTGTAGATTGTATAATAGGATATTATATAGTGTTAATGAACTTATTTGGAATTGTTTTATGCAACATTTCTGACTTTCATTCTCACCACATTTTTGGTTGTGAAATTTAATTGAAAGATTAAAATTAAATTTAAATTTTGTAGTTATTCTAAATTGAAGTTATTATGTTCTATCCATAAATCTATATGTTATATCTGTTATATCCGTTATATCCATAAATGTTATATCAATATTTTTAAATATTTCGCCAATTATTTTTAACTTATTATTAAAGCTTAACTCATTAAGTATACAATCGTTATTTGTTTACTTTGAAAAATCATAAATCAAACCGTAATTTGTTGTAACGAAGTTCACCTTACAGAAGATATGATGCCCTGCGTTTGCTTAAATCTCTTCTCACTTCTTTCTTTCAATTAATCTTAGACTGAGGAAAGTAATTTTAGAAACAAGTATTTATTATATATACCATTAATTATACTACATAATATTTCAGCATTATTTGCACTTACTATTACATTATTAATTGTTGCTTTGATGCATTTAATTCTCTCAGTTGTGCTTCTCTATGGAGTTATTACGGTAATCATTTAAGTACTTGAAATTTTAAACATTTTTCATTTGAACGCTTAAATATTTTATGATAATGAATAAAGAAAAAAAAACATCAAATCTTCTTGTCTGTTTTGTTAATGAAAACATTAGCTTGAACTTTGAGCATTCCGAACATTCCTAGGATCATCTCAGAATATTCATTCAACCTGGTACTATTTCACAAATAGTCTAACGTATCAGATGACACTATATTGTATGATGTGTTTGTTTGAGGAAGCAGATAGAACACTTTATTGTTCATGTCTAGTTTGTGTTCAGGTGGTAGTATTCAAGGAGTAATTCATAGCCTCACTCAACATCTGAGTAGTGATGATTCAGAATGGTAATAGCTGAGAATTGATTTATAGTTTCATTGTAAAATAGTAGTCAAATTTTCAGCAAGCATATGTAATTTAATTTTGGTATTTTTGAAAGAGCATAATATCCTTTAAAACTAATGCACCATTTTCAGAAGCGAACCGGTTTTATATTGCCATGGTTTTTCATTTCATTACCTCTAATTATCCTCTCAACAACTTATGCAGTGATCTGGTGGTCAGGTGATATATTTGACACACAATTGATCATGTCTGTCATCGAATTCATCCTTTCCTTAGCGATCAATGTAAGCATTATTAACACATCAGAGAGAAGAGAATCTCATTTGAGCAGATTTTTTCCTATTGAAATTCAATTTACATTTCTTACTTACGTTAGAAATTTGTGCTTCTTCGTTATTAGTCATTAATTAGTAATTAAGTGTGCAATATTAAGCAATAAATAAGCATGGAAGTAACTTGTACTAACGGAAAGTGTTGTAGAGTATATGTTTTGTTATTGTTTTACTGTTCTTCTTTCGCATCAAAAAAACTCTAAAATCTCTCAAATATGCGAATTATTCTAAAAATTCATTCATGAATGTATCCCGTAATAAAACACAGCCATGGAAAAATAATTGGAACTTTGAACTACGCAAGAAAAGAAGGTATGTTATAAATATATAGGCTTTAATCATCTCCTTTTTCATCATATATTTCGGTATAATAGTAACAGTTTGCCGAAACATTCTGTTCCAAAAAAAAATATTAAGTTTAGTTTTAATTTGGTTGTTTTACGAATAAGCCGATATTTAAGGAAGATGGGGCAAAAGGATAGAAGTTGTCGTTTGTTGCACAATTCATGCATTCTCGCTTCATCGCTATCAAAGGGTTAAATTTTGGTTTTGACTGAAAATAAATTTATTTTAATTGGTCTTTACTTCATCATATATTACTGTTCGTTATATAACTTCCTCTTCACGAAATTATATATTTTTTTTAAAGAATCTCACGTTGATGAATTATTACGAATAATTTTCGTCGAAACATTTTAATTCAGAAAGTAGCAGAGGGTTGCAATTAACAGCGCATCGTTTGGCTGAGCATAATCGAATATTGTCCGGTGAAGATGATTGCTTACAGGTGTGATTATAAAAGGCCAATTGATCAAAAAATCTTTTAATTTTATTTGTATTAACACTGGCATAAAAATTTATTTGCTTGAAGTATCCAAATTAGATAATCGAAGAAAGGGAGCTTAATGAAAATAATTTAAATCGAGTTTAATAGAATCATTTTTAGTTTAAAAATGATTAATTACCTGCTAATATTATCATAGCACAGTAAATCGTTTGTATTCTATTGGCGGAGAATTTTCATTGCTTCCTCTATCAGCAGGCGAATATTCTTCGCTTCTTCTATCGGCAGGCGAATATTCTTCGCTTCTTCTATTGGTAAGCGAATATCCTTCGTTTCCTCTACCGGCAGGCGAACCTCCTCTATCGGCAGGCGAATATCCTTCGCTTCCTCTATCGGCAGGTGAACCTCCTCTATCGGCAGGCGAATATTTTTCACCTCCTCCATCGGCAGGCGAATATCCTTCGCTTCCTCTATCGGCCTCACTTGGCTGACCACTAAAAGTTCCACTTCTAGTAGGACATGGACAATATTCCGCGTCACTTCCTGGCATTCCCTCTTCGCCAAGCTCGCCTTGCTCTCCCTAAAACATGCTGAATGAATTTAACGAAATATGAAATTTTATTTATTTTGACAATTAAACGTCTAAGGATATATCCTTACAGATTTTTATTTTCATTGATTCATTATAAATTTGCTATAAATGAAACTAAAATTCAATGCAGTTCTGCAATTTCATGTCAAACTAATCGACAAAAAGAAAGTAACAGACAGGAAGTGTAAAATTAAGTTAATAGATGGTTGACGGTTGGCTATCCATTACCTGTTGGCCGTCATCTCCTTTTTCACCAGCAAGTCCACGTTTTCCGGGTGGCCCCTCAAGGCCCGGTTGACCAGGTTCACCTTCATCACCTATTTCACCGGGTGGACCAATTGGACCCGGAGCGCCTTTTGGACCTGGAACTCCTACAACATGCTCTGAATCAATACCCGGTTCTCCTTGTGGTCCTTCTTCACCCATTGGTCCAGGTGGTCCATCTGCGCCTATCTATAAATTGAAATTTTGAAATTCAAGCACTGCAATTGAATTCCTTCTTAATTTTAAATCCACCATGATCATAATAAGCAAGATTGAGCAATTAACTGCATTACTAAACATTGGAAAAAACTGTTAGTGCATGAAAGAGAATTAAAGCAAAAAAATATTAGGTACTTGAGAAGTTAATCTTAACCTGTCCTGGAGGACCTGGTTGACCGTCTTGACCACTTGCACCACTTCGACCCCGGGAACCACGCATCCCTCGAGGCCCAGGACGACCTGGTGAGCCAGGTTGACCTATTGGACCAGGTGGACAATGAAAACAACTTTCGTACTGTTGTATTTGTTCTCTTATATCATTCATATCTGGACCATTCGGAGCATCCTGAAGTTTTATGGGTATTGAGTATGTGGCACAGCAAGACAGTCAGTCTACTAAATAAAACTGATCTGAATTTTCAACCATTACTGATTTCCTTCACGGCCTGTTTTGCAATCATTTTATTCTCAACTTCTTTTGGCAAATTGGGAAAATATTTAATGATTAAAAACAAAATACCATTCCATCGAAGCCATCTATACCATCCATACCATTTGGACCTTTCGGTCCTGGTGGCCCTGCTGGACATGAATTTTCCGTATCAATATTTTCACCTTAAAAAAATTCTTCAATATTATTGACCAAATAGGTAATAATGCAAACAATAAGGTAAGTATTTTTGCAATATCCACAGAATAGAATAAAATCTTCGTTCACTAAATCGACTTTTTTTTCAATCCAAAATTATTATCAGCATATATATGAAAGCAGAAGTAATCAGCGGAAGTTGAAATTTCTGGGCCTAATTTTTTCTTGAACGCTTCCGTATCTGCAACATTCATTGAGAACATATCAAAGAAAATATTTCACATCACAAATGAATCGTTCGTTTGTCAAGAAATTACTTTTTAACTATGCTGTAGTCAAAATATTAATTTAGGTAGTGTACTAATAGAAAGGAAATTTGGTACTGATATAAATTTGTCCTTTATCGGAACTCTTCCTATAATTTCTGTAGAATTCTGCAATTGATATTTTTGGAACTTCTTCATCTATGATTTCAACTATTATTAAAAATAGTTTTTTGTACTACATTTTTTACAGATGAACCAAAAAGTATGTGATCTGTTAGCAATTTTATTTTTTTATGTAGAACTAATTCTTTTCTTAGCTTGGAGTATTTTTGAAATTTAAATAACTTATAGCTTCTTTATTCCTACTCGATGCTTCTTCATTATACGAATTAGATGGTTTGGAAGGTTCATTGTATCCTTCACTTAATGCTGGATTTTCGTGCGATGATTGACCAGCAATATTTGTACTGTCACCACTGGAATATTGACGACGTTGACGATAACGAACATTCATTGACATCATATCTCTCCAAAGATCTCTTGCTTTCAGCTTAAAATATGATAAAATGCTCAGTTATATATATATATATATATATATAAATTTTATAATAATTAAAGTAAAACTATTTACTCATAAAGTTCTTTTTATTTCCTCCCAGATTTCTCAGTAAATTAGTAAATCCATATTTCTTAGTAAATCCTCAATAAATCCATAATACATCGGGATAATTCAATTTACCCTTATCAATCTTATCAATAATATCATTTTGATAATTACCAAAATTAAATTTAAATATTGCAAAGAAAAAATTTGATATAATATTTGTAAAAATATTATTCACTTTGAATGCCTCAATCGTGATATCAAATTCATTTTCAATCATTTTAATTTCATTGATAATATGTGCAACGGCAACAATTAAACAAAACATCGTAGCAGCTCCAATACCGCATGTTCCAATCAAAATATTCTTAGTTTTTAACATCCTGCATTAGTAAAAGATGATAAGAGATATGATATTGTATTTAATTTTTTCCTCATTTCTTAATATAATACAATCGGTGAATCATTTTTCATTCAAACTATTCAAATACATGAATTGTATTAATAAAATAAATTAGACTACAGTACAGTAATACACAACTACACTCAAATACAGTAATCTCGTTTTTAATTTTAAATATTTTTAAAATTGAACAAATCATCATCTCTACACTTTGTTGAAAATCTTTCAATTAATCATTTTTATTTACAATACTTTCAAACATTTTTATTTCGTATTATATTATTCGATTGTTAAGTCTTACATTTTACTGATTTGATAAAGATATCAATTGTACGGCTCAAATCGGAAAAGTTTTAGATTTTAGATATTGACAGATTTAATGATATATTGAGAATGGAAATGAAGTGAAGTAATAAATAAACAAAATGGAAAAAGACATGATTTAACAAATGAAAGGAAAAGAAAATAAAAAGAAAGACGAAGACTGTCACAACTATCCTCTCAATGATCAATCAAATATTTCGGCATAAAATATTTACGATTTTTCTGATGGTATTCAAAACCGGATAAGAATTCCTGATCAAATATCCTTCGAATTTTTGCATATTATAGTTCTCATCCTTATTATATATTTTTTTATTGCTATCACTATTAACATATAATTGACATTGTTGACGTTATCACTGTAAGTTATTATCACTAATATTGTATTTATTAAATTATATTTATTATATTTATTAAATTAGCCTATTATATTAACTAATTTCCCATATAAAAATAAAATCTTTCATTTTCAACAATTTAGTGATATCATTTCCAAAATGATTGTAAGAAAAAAGAAAAACATTTTTATGGAGATTTCCAAATTTGAAGGAAATAAGACAGAAACGATAAGGTGGGGGTTAAACTGATGGTGTATAATAATTGTATTACGTGAAATGATGAAATAAATATGGGTCATTAGGTGGGTTCAAACGTTGTCTTTCAGTTCAGCATAGTAACTGGTCCTTTTCTCTTATCGATATCATAATCAGATGAAATAACTAAACAAATCAGTAGTATACCAGATGCCAATGAACAAAATAAGTAGCATCTGTAGCGAAATGATTTGCATATTCAGAAATAAAAATTATCAGAAGGATCATTTACCCTGCTAATTAACATACCATCAAAAAATTTTGTACATTTTGAAAGCTATGATAATGTGGTGGTCATTTAATCGTTGCATACAATTACAATTTCACTTAATATTAATTTTGTTGTAGGAATTATTATTTAGATTTGTTAACAATTGTTTATCATTTTAAATCACAACCACTAAATTGCGTTTTCAGAATAGGATGAAAATTGAAAGCGGATTCTGAACGACGTAGTGCTGCCGATGTTGCCATACTATTCCCATTTAGATTCGTTAATTGCTCTATCTGAAAACAAAAAGTGCAGTGCAGGAAAATGATAGCGTAAAATTACGACTATCGTTGGAAGCCCGAATACAATTGAAAGAAGCACACAAGCAAAAAACATTACATGAAGGGGAACATTTTAGAATTCATTCTATCTCCTCTTCCTTTATTTCATTATTTCACACAGATTAGTTCTTTCTGTGTTAAGCATACAAAGTTCAAAGTTCATTTAAGTTCATTTAAAAAATTAATACAGAGTTCATTCAACAGAATTCAGTTAATAAATTAATACAAAAAATTTAAATCATAAATTAATATATACAGATGGTATCATATCACGATAATTCAATTTCTTTCACCTGGATGAATATTATCCTTTCAGATGAGACATAAAGACCATAAATTGGTTAAGAAGGATTTTCTGTATAAAGAATAAAGTGCTGAAATGTAGAACTTATTTACGAGAGATTTTTTTGTAAACAAATGGTGCAGATATGACAGAAGGTGAAGCATTGACTGGTAATATTTGTTGGTAATACTTCTGGCATATTTGTATTCTGCAAAAATATATCTTTTTTGGTCCGCGAAGAATTCTTCCATTCTATTGATTCCGGTTAAAAAAATGAAATTTAAATCTTCCGTAATCCGTAAAATTTAATTTTCTTTTGCAACTTTCCTTCAATTATCATTGATAGTATTCTCGGACGTTGTATATTTTTAGGAAAAAAAATATGGAAGTTTTTGGATGAGATAAATGGCAACCGGGATAACCTGAAATTAGTGTGTGTGTGTGTGTGTATTATTAATTCAAAAATTTGTTTCTTTTTATATGAATGATAAAAAAATTATAAGTCATAAATTAATATGAATTAGACAGGATATTCATTTTTAAATAACTGTTTTAATGAATCATCATAATAAATATCTATGAATTAAATGAAAGTTTCAAAATTTCAAATATTTCATTCAGAAAAAAAAATCATTTCTATTTTTAATATTACTGTAGAGGATAAAGCTGGTAAAATTGATGAAATCAAAGCACAATATGGTGTGATCATAAAAGTCGATCAGAGAGTTGAAATCAATTTGATTAATTTGAAATAAATTAACATATTAATTAGATAATATTATATAAATTATGACCTTTTGATTAAACTATCAAAAGTTTTGTTACATATTATAGAAATTTCTCTATTACATATTATATATATTATCTAATATGTTAATAATTATATATATTATATTATCTAATGTTAATATGTTAATATGTTACATATATTGTTACATATTACAGAGATGATTTTTTGCATATGTTTATATTCAATTACAGTAAGCGAAAAAAATATCAAAAAAGAGAGCAATGTATTGATATTTATATTATCAGCAGAAGTTGCAACAAAAGTGAAAAAGTGGAAAAAGCAAAAGAAGAAGTAATTTTATGGTGGATTAATTTGTCTTCCTTTATAAAATTTAAAATTTATGTAAAAATTAACTTTTTACAGAAGTTTGTCAGTAAGAAAAAATTCATTTAATTTATTTTCATTTAAATAATCGATTTTCAAAAGCGTTCAATGACTCATTGCTTTAAATGCTATCATTTAAAAAGATTTGTAATATAATAAATTGCGTGCGGTTTGGAAGACCGAGGAGAAAACTGAGTACAGAAAAAGCTTTTATTCGAAAATATTGTTTCACATTCTTTGTTTTTTATTAATTTATTATATTTTTTCGATGACTCGAGAAGTAACCGCATTGATAATATCATCGAAAAACAATATTCAATGTAAATTATAGTATTTATGCATGATATATATGATTGTATGTGGTGTAGACGAAAATCTTTTATATATTAATAAGAGATACGAAAATTCAAAGGAATAAAGAAAAAAGATAAGATGGAAAAAAATTTAAGTGACATTCGAATTCTATTATTTATAGACAATAATCTACACAAATAGTTTAGAATGAATGTTTGGACTTCTATGGTTCACGCTTAGGACTAGGGTTTAGGCTTAGGCTTAGGTTTAGGGTTTGGGGTTTTAGGCTTAGGGAGAGGGGAGGATTCTGTACTTCGAATTTTTAGGGAATTTTCAAGAGTTCGATCAAGATTAAAAAGGAAATCTTGCGAAAATATTTTTTAATGATGCTCAATTTAATTGAAGCTTAATCTTAGCAAAGAATCGTGAAAATATTCTTGCTGCTCTAGACGTATTAAGGTATGTTTTAGGCATAGCATTAATGGGTGACGCATTTAAAAGTCGATTTACTTGAGTTCACTTTTATTTGCAACATTTACATAAATACAATAAGTCTCAGCTATTCCCAGAAACTAAACGCCAAATAGATCAAGTAAATGATTCGAACTAAATTCATAGAAGCCTCAACTCTCCTGTAAAGAATTTTTGCATTACTTCTCAGGCGTTAATGACACCTTCTTTCTCAGTGCGTGCACGCTTCTTAACCGGTCTTTGCTCCTCCCGCACCTGTCCCTCGTTCTCAGCCTCCTCACCCAGTTCTTCCACTCTCTGCCGCAATTTTTCGGCATCTATACGGAAATCTCGAACACCAATCGAATTGTTTCTGACTTGTATGTCTAACCGATCATCGCGCAGGGCTGAACACAGTAGCAAGAGATTGGCCTTAAATAGACGGATTAGATGAATAAATTGGTCCTCATATTTTTCGCAATGCGCTGTTCATAACTCGTAACAAACAAAAATTCTAATAAAAACTGATCCAACAGTATATGATGATAAGGCTCGTACTGCCAAATCTGCGTCACTGCTAACAATCTCGCAAAGAATAAAGTTATGCTATGAAAATGATCTTTTTACCGTTTTTCAACAGTACATACATTAAATTTTTTTGTATCAGAGATCAGGTTCTTCATGCAATACTTGCTGTCAAAAGAATAGTAGAGAATATTAGATTAACGAACCTGATAAAGCTCTCTTGATCGTACATAGGTAACATAAAGCGTTTCATCCTTCTGAGACTTCAATATCTTTCGATTATGAGTAAGAGACGGTTCCTTCAATAAGTATGCAAATCTACTCCGATTAAAATTATACTATTTACACTATACCAAAGAAAGAAGGAAAGCGAAACCATGATAATAAACGACATACGTCAAGTGGGTTCAGTGTTCCTACATTTTCATCGGCGTTCTCCATAATTCGGAGAACACTGCCACGAGCAAGAGTTGCTAACTTCGTTACAGACATCCATTCCGAAATATCACCATGTTTGTGTGTTTTCAACATCTACAAACATTCCTCATTTGTTTAACTGAATAGATATTTCAAAAACGTAGATTCGCTAACACGCCATTCTAAAAAAATCCCTTCCTGATTGAATGCTTTTCTGTTGTTGCAAGAAAAAAAATTTTTCCAAAAAATGACTTACGATCTCACAGAGTGTGACGAAATGAAGAGAGGTGGTAATTTTGATTAAATTACATCAGAATTCCTTACTATACACTACAAATTTTAAAATAATTTTGAACGCCAACGTTTGAAAAAGTCGAAACCGACCAATTTAACAACAACATTAAGTGTCTCGTACTGCGCAGTTAACAGTGCACAGATCGGCTCTTTGGCTACTGCATAATCAATGTGTACTGAGAGCAACAGAAGAACAACATCCGCTAACCTGCTGCATAAGTCAATTACTTTGACGAGACCAACATCCACTAAAGAAAATTTTATCATGAAAAAATATCACGAAATGTCTTATATAAAACGTCTTGCACACATTTGAAATAGTAAGTACAACAGCTTAGCTGAAGTTGTAACGAAAATTGCTAACTTGAGGATATGAAAATCTGAGACATCATCTCGGTGGTCAAACGCGCATCTGATAGAGAAGCTGAGCAGGCTTCAGCAATCATTTCTGCACTTGTTTCCACTGTTATATCATTTATGGATGCCAAGAAATGAGCCGTTCCCTGACCAGAATGTGTGAAATATCTTCAGTAAAAAACATGAAATAGGATTATATAAATCAATACATTGCACTTTTCCTAATTCAATAAAAATTGCAATTTATTAAAAACTCAGCGCTCACTTTTTCCTTATCGCTCAGGAGAGCTATTATTTGAGTGGCAACAGTGCGCAGAAAATTCGTATAATGAAAGTCACAGTTACCAGCTCGTTCTATATGCATATAGAGGTGCCAAATTTCTTTCAATACAGTTTTATTGTCTGAAGTACAAGAATTTTCAAAGTACTTAACTGCTGTGTAGGAAAAAATTTGTTTGAAGTTACTTAGTTACCAAAACTTAAGTAACATATGAATTAAAGAGAACAGTTTGATGGGTACTATTAAGTTTTTTTTAGAATACTTATTTCCAACATACAATGGACAAAAAAGTATTCCACCGAAGAAACGACTTCGGGAAAAAAATGGGTGCTGTTTGTCAAAATATAGTGCATATTGAGTATGGTCCCGTAAAGGCCTTACTTATTTCATTTTTTTGCAATATATTGCGAGTAAGCTTTGCACACTTCAATTGCGCCTTATCATTTGATATCTGCTTGAACAGTGCACGACAGGTGGCAATTAATGCAAATACTTGATGAGTAAAATCTGATGCCATCATCCGTTCCTCGAAATCTTTATAAGTCTCAAGTAATTTCGGCATTAGATGTGACAAGATGAATTGAATCAACAGAGATGCAGCATTTTCATGCTTTCGTTGAGCTCCGTTCGATTTGTCTACGATTTGCCCTAAATGAATTGTCAAAAATTAGTAACATTTGGTGATAAGTACCGTTTCAGTAAAAAATTAATTTACTATAATTCTAGCTTGCTGATTTTGACTTGTCTAGAATGATAATCATTCCAATTTGTTAGAAAGAAATTTCTAATGATCTGAAATTTCAATCATGCAAGCAATTACAGTAAATTAATAATTTCTTCGGTATTTCAAAAAAATTAAATCCACTCACATTTTGTAAGTGTTTTTACTACTCAAAATACAACCATAACTCTTTAACAAGCAAAAATCAACACTGTTCGATTTTTCGTCATTATGAAGATGATAGCATTACGAAATTTATCAAGCATATTACTTACACATTTCCATAAGAAAACCATCACAACGAGAACCATATTTTGAGATCATCAAAGAAATTACGTTAGAGAAAGCCATAGCAGCTTGTGTACATTTATGATTCCACAACTCAAATGAAGCTGATTCATGAACAAAACTACCACCTATGTATAGAAGAAGCATGATCCTGTAAACATGACAATATGAACCATGAACTTTTTTGTACCATACTCCTTTGAAAACAGTTGTTTCAAAAAAATAAAGTTGTTGTAAAAAAACCTTGAAAAGGAGGAAAGAACGACAAAGGGTGCGTGAGTTTTACACTTATATATATCAATGGAAATCCGCTGTGCCCAATCCATCGCCCACACAAATGCATTTTCACGTAGAAGTTGCAAGCATTCTTCGTCTATATCGATACCTTCTTCATTAACGCTTCTAAAATAACTATCTCTAGAACTGCACAAATTTGTCCAGCACATCTTTCCTTAAACTGAAAAATCTCAGCTGTGTCAATCGTGTAACGCTGCGGGAAGAATGCCGTTGGATTTTTATGACGAGTAGACTCAAGCGGAATTACCATGTGATGTTCAGACTTCTGATCTTGAAAATATACTAAAACCGCCCCCAAACAGTTCAGCAAATTTTATGGCAGTAGTGGACGATACCACCATATATTCTTTCGATTTCAAAAAGCTTAAGATGCTAGCTGCTAGTCATTGCATCTAATCCCCAGCTGATTAAGCTGTTCGTGATTTGATTGTATGACCTCCAAACTTGGCCAACATTCATTAGTATCTTAATGTAATTCAGCACTATCAAATATTGCCATTCTCATCCATGATGAGCTACCAAATCTAAATTTCCTGAACGGTACAATTGAAAATATCACAATCTCTCAACGACCATGAAAAATATAAAGTTGCAGCTAACTGAATGAATCGTGAAAGTATGCTCGTTATGGACTGCAGATAGGGTGTAGTAGATGAATAAGCTATTGCTATTTTATCTCCTTTGCTTTCTTTCTTTTTGGCAGATTTTTCCTTCAAAACTTCGTCCAATTCCTCACGTCTACGCAATAACGCCAGCACTTTTTCCGTTACTTCTCTCCTATAAAAGGTAAATTCAGTAATGTCTTCACTTGCATTTTATATAATTATAAAACCCGTACCTGGTAAGCGCACAGCTTACATTCCATAGGTGTTCAATAAGAGCGTCGTAAAGGGAGATCATCAGTGATGCGAAGCTCAGGTTTGCGCGACCAGTAGCGGAAAGTGAAAAATCCGAAAGCTTATCCAGCTACAAAAAACTCTATCCCTCAGAACAAAAATTCAAATTCTATTGAAAACAAACAAAAATTCAAAAACAAAAATTCTATTGCATTAATTAAGATAAAATCCAAGAGACTTTATTTTTGTTGAAAATAATGAAAAATGTTTACAAAAGTCTGAGTTTCGAAGTCAAAAACCATAACATAATAAAGTTAACCCGTAGGTCGTGCACATCTCGGTCTATAGCAAATTCAACAAGCTTATCCAGTTCGAACATGGCCTGACATACTTTAGCATTTTCGCCACATACAACTTGAGTCGATGTATTTCGTAAACTATATATCGACAAACGCATCAGTAAGCTAACAGCCTATAATTATACAGAATGAAATAAGTAAAGCAACACATGTATGAGTAAACTGATACTAAATGAAAATAGATTGTTACATATAACTCCGAATACATATAATAACCTGAACTAAGTCAGACAAAGGTTCAAGTAGAATAGTAGAGGATTTCGAAGATTCAATGTAGGTGCAAAGAGATATTTGCTGCAAAGTTGCAAGATGTGTTACTAGAAGATCCAAAGTCGGATACACCAAATTTTGATTAGCAGATGCTGCTTCAACAACACCTCTGCAAATATCAGCACGCCTTTATAAAATTTCTAGCACTGCATGCTCACATCAGTTTATAGAACTACTAGGATAAACTGGTCGCAACTCCTATGAGCAAGGTAGAAGAGCACTTCAGGCTTAACCAAGTACGGAAAGTCTAAAAGAAGCTAGAGATAGCTTCTTTTAGACTGTGGTTTCTGACTACATTTATACATATAATGCATATACATCACTCAAGGTTTGGGCTAATAACTTAAAGACATGCCTGTACAACATGCTTTTCACATTTGCAGGCTGCGAAAAAGTTCGTTTCAAGATTCCAATGATCTCCAACGAAAGCTCCACATTCGTGTTTTTCGTTTCAACACCCATGTTTTGTAGAGCCTAAAATGAAATTTTCAATACAAACTAAAAAAAACTGTAACCTATATTATTTGCGAACTTTCCTAGAATTTACCTGAGTGGAAAAAGTAGCGAAAGATTGGCTGTAATAATCACTTTTTACAGCCGAACGCATTGTTGACGACCGTAGAAGGAGAAGTAATATCGGTAAGACTGTAGCAACTGTTGAACCACATAGCACATATTTTTTCATTCGGTTAAGCATAATGGCAATTAACTGTGGACGTAATATAATAACTGGAAGTAAAGCGCGAACCAGTGAAACAGCAATACTCTAAAAATAAAACAAAAATAAAGAGCTATTATTTATTCATCTTATATTTTTAGGAGTGGCTAGAGTTGCAAAGTGCTTTGAAATCAAACCAATATCTTCTCTAGAAGATAAAATTGAAAAAATATTAAAGGAAAAAAATTAGGGGAATAATCACCTCCTTTAGATCACATATACTGTCCATCCAGGATCGCAGGGATTTCCAAGCATTCAATACATGTACTGTCTGCTGCGATACAATATCAACAATCGTATCTAGAATTACACTAACAACTACAAATAATAGCAATGCTCAAGTTATAATATTGCATACTATTACACAATAAGTGCATTCGTCTAGATTAGTTAGTGGTGCCAATGATGCAGGATCATACAAATTACTTAAATGAGAACGGCTACTGTCCTACAAAAATCATGAAAAATCAAGGTACCAATCAGAATAAGTGCAGAGTTCTGCTTAACACACGTGAACAATATTGTAAGGATCCTTTCAAGCAGCTGGCCAATGGATGCCACATCTACTCTTGCTAGTGAGACCAGTATTGACTTGCCCAATGATACAGCACCAGTATCGCCCGCAATTCTAAAGCACAGTATACAACTCCAACAAACAAAAGCATAATGGCTGAAATCTATTAAAACTAACAAATTGTTTTCGCATCTTATCCACCTCTTAAAAAGGTTGTTAAGCTCAGAATAATAAATATTTAGCTGAAGACATAAATTCTAAAAAACGGTGCATGAAAAGAAATTTTCTAGCATGAAGGAAGAAAACAGCATAAGTTGAAACTGTTATATAGTAAAATTATCATCCTTTCCCTTAAAACTGTACTAACACGATTGAAAACAATGAACTCACCTTCATATTTATTAAAATGTTATTTACCTGCCATTCGAGATTTTAATTTCAGTATTGCACTTATCTAGCAGCAGCATGAATGCAACTTGTTCAAGTGCACTGCCAATAACAGAACACCACTTGGTATCACTAACTGCAACTTCAACAACTGCATCTAAATTGCCTTTCAAAGTTTCTACATCACAGTCGCCCACAACATCACGAACCCAAGCACTTCTTCTCAACCCGTCACAATGTTTCTGTAGTTTCACGACATTCTGTTTCAGCTCCGCCATACTCACCGAATGATATCGTGTTGTATTACAGAGTGACAGCAGGCATATCAATGCGAATCTACTGCATGATACAAGCTGCCGATGGCGCTAAAGTGTTATATGTATTCCTAGAGGTAAAAGAATTTATCTGTGAATTATTCATACATTGATATTAATTATTGAGGCGGAGAAAGGTTCACATTATAAAAGAATTTGATATAAAGAAAGCATTTCAAAAATATTTGACCTTTAATCGAGCAAGGAATAGTTTCGGTATAGTAACGCTAGATTCAAATAGTTCATGAAGTTCAACTGATAACATGTATAAATCCTCGAACGGAAAATCCGCTTTCGTCAACAAGTGGTCGCATACCTTAATATATTCAAAAACTTCAAATGTAAAGCTGCATTGCTTTGAACATTATTAGTTTTCATCGTTTCAAATAATCTCAGTTTCATTTTCAAATAAAATTAGAATGAAAAAAAAACTAGGTACAAAAAATTACTTGTTCTCCTTTCCAGTTAATTACTTCAGGAAGCACGACAATCAATTTCAAGCAGATTTCTGGTGTTGCTTCAGTATACAACATTTTTTCCACAAATAAATTAAGGATCTCATGCAGGGAACATTTCCTAAAACACCACATTAAATGTGCAAAACATGCAGAATTAATACTGTTAGCGAAGAAAAGCTAAATTGATGAAATAATTTTACCTCAGCAGAAAGACGAATTCTTTTAAAGAACTGCAGCTTACAACATCACTTAGCAGTTTCAATAAAAAGGCAACACGATATTCCATACAATCGACAGTATTCTCCTCCCATTCAATTAACTTACCCTTTGCTTTTACCACACACTGAATAAATATGGCTGTAGCGCTCAACCAGCTAAAATATCAATACTCCAAAAATCGAATTTCCAATTTCATGAATTTCCCTCATTTTGAGCTCTTAATATTATATTGCATTCAAAGTTACAAGATACGTAGAACAGAAACCTTTTTTTCAATATACATCCGCTTATGAAATTCTCCGCAATATATGTACCAAGAATTTTTGTATCATTTCCATTCATTTTATATATCTAAAGAAACGGTGGTATTGATATGTATCTGTGTTATCGTTCTGCCTTCTAATAAATATCACTTGAGGTCTCAGGAATTTCGTTTATTGCATCCATTAATTGCAAGTTATAATCCCTTACTTCAGAGTAAGATAAACTAATAAAATATGGAATCTATAAAAAACCATGTAAAAGTTTCTTAACCAAGAAAAGTTTTATATTACGCGTTCAACATTACGGCTTCACTTCTCACGATTAAATATAATGTATTATTTGATTTGGAATCTGCAGTAGCTAATTTTTTCTGTAGAATGAGAATCGCAAATCTTATATTCCACTATTCACTCCATATAGATATCTCTCTCCCATTACTTGATAATATATAAAAAGTATGACCTGCTCTTCAAGCACATCATGTAGAACTATAATGGGTTCATATCCAAGGTTATCAATTTTCATTACTTCCATAACCAGCAATAACATCGGTAAAACATGATCCGTTTCGGCGTTCACATGACCTATGGCAGTGTACCAACGTTTGACAAAATTCGAAAACAATTCTCCTCCATCCTTTTCACATTGCTGCTTCACAAAGTTCGTAAAATTCTGCTTAAAAAGAAATCTTTTCGCATCCAATGCATGGAAAACCTTCAGCATCTTTTATTCTTTTTCCCTTCCTTTACTCTTCTTACTATAAATCATTAAAATCATTCAGTGCCCAAATCTGTCGTAGCTAACTTTTCACAATTACCATTGGTCATAAAAAAGCATTCTTTAAAAAAAAAAATCATTTACCCAACGACGTTCCTCCGATAACTGTAACAGAATTTTGGTTATCTGTTGCACATATTTCTCATTATTTTGAGGACATTCACTGGCAACATATTTGTCAACTTGAGCGCAGAACTGTGTGCAAAAACTTTCATGAGTTCGAATACATTGAGAACTTTGTGTGGGACTTGTTACACCCGAAGTATCCATGACAGAAGTGATCCCTAAAATTAACAAAAAAATGAAAATTAAGCAATGCTTCTTTGATCTGTTTGGAACGGAAGAGATGTACAGATGATCGAAAACTCCATAGCAGTTAGAATATAATTATCAGCTCATATTCAAATAATTAGATCATTGTTTATCTCATATTATTTGCAGCTGCGGGGAAAAGGTATATCAGATGGCAATGGCAGATAATCCGTCTGATTCCACCCGTTCAAAGAAATGAACTTATGCCTTTATCAGTTTTCTAATTTCTGCGATTGAAACCTATTGGAATGGGACTGATAAACTATGTTCATCTGTCTTCCCCCGCCACTCTCTCCATCCTGAACAATCAACATATCGAGACGAAGGAATACCGGTCTGCATTCATGCAAGACTGCCTCACAATAATAAAATTAACTAATCACGTATGGAACGCGCGCTTTTCAAAATTTCCCGCAATTTTTCTTTCGGATTTTGGAAGAGAGGAATGGAAGGAGAATTATATGCAAAAGATGCGAGGAAAATAGTATACTGTCAGGCTGACAAACGATGATAACATAGTGTGCTGTATAAATAGACAGCACAACACAAGTCGATTTTTAGCGTTTCGACGCTTAGACTTCGATGCTAGTTAGCCAATTCTTTGGGGATATTCTCGGAGTTTTTCAGGATCGTTTTCAGCGTTCCCGGCGTTTGAGCTTTTACTATGCAAGTCTTGAGTATTCGGATGGTAGAGTAAAAGGATTATATGTATGCTTGTTTCTAGATGAAATTCGTGTCACTACTGTCGACGATTATCTTACCTTCATTAATCTGATTAGATCAGTCCTATCAATTTCTCCCTTCTCTTACTTCTTGCATTTACAGAATTGTATGGTTCGTCATCAGTTCGATATCATTTCGAAGAGTAAATCACCAAAAATTGAAACTGATATTGCCCACCAAGTTGAAGGAATGAACTTGAACGGCTTGCAACAAGTAACACAGGTACACGGGTCATTCCTTTATTAGTTACATTTTTTGATGCAAATATTTCATTTAGACCAAGATTGTTTCGAAATCATTTTGTCCCTCTAACACAAGAAGCTATTTTACCAAATAGCTATGATTTCAGATCTTGAAAAGTATCACGCATTCTTTTTAGGAACATCAACAACTATTAGAACAAACAAGACATCGTCTTCGTGACCGTATATCATCGCGTATGGGCGAATTACTTCTTTTAGGTCAGACTATGCTCAACGAATACTGCGAGTTGTGTGCGGTGAGTTCAGAGAAAGTGCTTCTTTCACTTAATGAGTATAGTCACATAATTATTAACATGCTGGCATTCTTCTTTATATCAAGTTTTACCTCATGAATTTTATCACATCCTACAACTTTCGTTGCCACGTGATATGGATAGAATGAAACAGTATGTTTTCTTGTGTAATATTTTTGTTATCGCACAATTTTATTATTTGAGAGAGATTCCAAATATTAGTGTTATTATTAGTAATAAATGTTTAGCAGAATTTTAATGTTTATAGGGTATTTTGATGGAAAACCGTCAAGGAGTTCGTTCATGTGTTGCTTGCGAGATGGTGAATACAGAGCTTTCAAGGGGACAGAACTACAGGACTGCAGTTCCAAATAATGGTATTTTGTGAAGCTCTTATCATTATATGGAGGACAGTAAATCCACCACGAGATATTTCCAAAATTCTGATATAATACAGTAAATCTTTGCGTCGATTTCAGATGACTTGAATGATTTAACTGAGCACGGCAACATGAGTCGAAGTAGTGAAGTTTTACAATCACCGACGCAGTTTCTTCCAGCAGATTCTACCGCAAGATCTTCCGTGAGTATTAATTAAGCTAATAATTTGTTCTTTTTCTTAGATAACTGACAGATGAACAGATTCTAAATGGTAGTTCTCAGTTGAATGCTTGATTTAGCATCGCAAAGAATGCCATTATTCCGCTGTATTCATTTTTCTGTTATAAGTAAATGGCCGCATGCTCTTCATGAACAGTGGGACTTTTTTACTCTTTTTTAGCACTCACCAGTTGAAAGAAGAGATTTCCCTGTGCGAACTCACCGCAATCATCGTTTTCATGTAGAAGAAGGCATATCACCAGTATGTTTTCTTGCTATATTTATGATGATTTATTTGTCAAAGAGATTTATATACACAACTTTTTGCACTTTCCAGCATGCTGATTTTTTGGAATCCGGAAATGTTAAGATGGCATTAGAGGCAATTGACGATAAACTAAAGTGGTGCGCAGAACGATTGAAAAGCTGCGACAATGTAGAGGAAATAATGGAACTATATGAAATTATTGATCGTGGCATTGGAATTCTAAAACGTTTTATGAATACTTGATGTACCTTGAATTTTATGTTGACGTTGCATAAACTCTTCTCCATTTGGAAATAAAAATAGCGGTGGGTAGTTATCTGGTTGGTAATTGGAATTCCGGATAACTATATTTGTATATTTATATTGTTTCTATCTGATTTTTTATGCCTTCCTCTAAATTTTGTAATTTAACTGGTATATATTTTATATAAATTTGAAGTTCAGTAAATTGATTATACTAAAGCGTCTTTGTACAGCCTTAAATTACTTTTAACAATGTATAGATTTCCTCAGTTGCTTGTATGATCTCATATCAAGTTGCTAAGTAGAGGAGTAATACTGTTGAGATCAGGCAGCAGCGTGGCGCAGTGGAAGCGTGCTGGGCCCATAACCCAGAGGTCGGTGGATCGAAACCACTCGCTGCTAGTTTTGCATTTTTGCCCGTCATGTTTCTGAATGCGGTCATACGACTCGAATGCGCTATCGCGGTATGAGCCATTTACATTTGAAATGTCATAGGAAACTGTGGTAAAATAGATGTTCCACGTTTAAAAGACGAGCAGTAAGAAGGAAAGCAATGTTTGCTGAGATATCACACAGATGTTTCCATTTGAGTTGCTCTGATTATTTCTGATCTGGGACTAATATATCGTCTATCGGTGCTCTTGCTACTCTTCTGGGTTGCACTAGTTATCGTTTGCGTTTTTGCAGTTACCAAACTTGATGTTCCTTCACTTATCTTTTCCTGCCGTTTTTTAGCCTCCTAAACGGCATGTATAACTTTTAGAACAATAAAAATTGACAGGCAGGGAAAATAATAAAGCAAGTGAAAAGCGAACACAGATAGGATAGTAAAGTAGGTTATATCCAATTTTGGAAGGCTACTTAACAGTTAAGAAGATATTCAGCATTCAGTACCTCCGAAAGGGATCTCTACAAACAGAATGTGATGGTTCATTCCTCGAGAGTTATGTAGAATAACGGATCTTCCCAATATTGGATTGCTGCAGAAAAAGTGATATCACCTTACATCAATCATTGAATATCTGAATTATACATCATCAACGTTAAGTGGGATAACTTACTTCCAGATACTGTTTCTCGGCTATTTTGTACTCGTACTCTCGCTTAGCACGATCTTCCGATAAAATAATAAGAATAATAACCACTGGTGTAAGGATTAGTCCAACAATTAACGGATATGTCCACCAATAATTTCTCTATAGATGCCAAAGTTCAATAATACAATAATTTATAAATTTTTTGATTTATTTAATTGCTTGCATCAATTCTTTCACAAAAGTTTCCGGTGTTTTAAACTATATGTTGCAACATATCATCATTAACAGTATGCAGAAGATGCAGTTCTGTAATGCGCTAGAAGTTGTCAAAAAGGTGAAACGTACACGAATGAAGCCCACAATATCAGTTCTGCTTGGTGAATCGCAATTGACACCCTCGTAACCGTCAATGCATTCGCACCGAAAACCGCGCACAAAACTAGTGTCTTGTATACAAGTACCCATCATGCAAGTTTGTAAACCTATATAGTTATAAATTTAGAATCAGGTCAAACTAGCAACTTCTTGTATGTCAAGAATAATGGTCACTCTGAATTTAGAAAATATGTAATGCTTTCTTCAAAAGTATTAATGTTCTCATCAATGATAGATTCTACCTAACAGCACTGGATTCACTAATCACTCCTAATTTTTCTTTGCTTTCATGGCCTGGATTTTTCAGTATATGACAACCTAAAGGAATTAACTATTACAACCTAAAGGTTTTTCCGATTTATCCCACGCCCTCCCCGTCTCTCCTCGGCTCCATTCTCTCACCTTGTATTATACATGGAGATAACTGTTGTTCGCAAAATGTACCACTAAAACCAAGACGGCAGCGACATCTGAAACATTTAACGAAATTGATTCCATCAGATTATTTTTGACGTCGCACAGCAAGTGTTTGTTGTTTGCTGTATGAAATCGTTACACAATTTAAGGATACAGTAAACGAAATCATTTCTTTACATATAATTAAATTCGTTTGCTTGATCGACAGCGCATTCTGCTCCATTCTGACATTTGTTTTGATCACATGCATTTGCCTCTTTGTCACAAAATGGGGGCAATAAACCATGTGGACATAGACACCTGTTTCAGTTGAACACAATTAAACAAATATAGCTAATTAAAAAAAAAAAACATAAATTCAGACTTTTTACTTTCGAAGAAACAAATTTGAAAAGTTCACAAAGTACAGTGGAGAGTAAAAATAAAATTATACATCCGATACTGACCTGAATCCACGACGTTTTTCTTCGTCGGAGCAAAGTTGTAAATTGTTCAGATCGGATGTTTCGCAGGGATAACAAAGACCGTCATTCTTGCACATATGATTGGTACATACGCCAAAATCAGTTTTTATACACTTGACCGCTCAAATTAAGTAATCTTATTTCTTTAGAATTAGAGAAAAAAGAGAGAAGGAGAATAATCTATACCAAAATTGAAAAAAAATAATGAGGGTAGTATTTCACTGTATTGTTTTGAATAAATTATGCAAATGCGATAGGCCTTGTTACTCTAATAAGAATACAATTTGCAAGCATACTGTTGTTGGATCCAGTGAAATCGGGATCCTGATTTATCTCACATAAGCAGGTATATCCCAGGGAATATTTCTCACGCCGTTCGATCGGTACCGAAACACATAAACTACCAGGTGAACAGGCATGATTATAGCATGGTTCTTCGATGTCACACTTTTCTCCGGTCCAGCCATCATAACAGCTTCAATTTATCTGACTCTTTATGTGATGATAAGATGAAATCTCCCGGTAACATCACAACAATGGAATTCAGATGCAGAGCTACACTAAGAATCATGCAAGCTTGAATAAATGCAGAAAAAAGATTTAAATCATACTCGCATACATAATCGTACAACGTTTTGCCAACACAAGTACCATGTTCGCCACATTTTTCTTCTGCAAAACATCCGTGTAACGCTACAAAAAGCCTGTTTTAGTCATTATCTTACCAGGCGTACGTGGGTCATACGTAGTTGCATCACATGGCGAATTTACATGTCTTTCACACAGAATCCCTTCATCTAAACCAACACATTGACAAACAGGAATTATATAAGATGTTGTATTATCGTCACCTAAAATACATTTCTACAAGTAAAAATATTGACTGATTTATTCGTTGAAATGAAAATGAAAGAAAGTAAGAACCAGGTAGAAAGTGTTAGTCGCCAATGTGGTTGACATACCGCAAGTAAAAGCGCTGTAGTTTCTCATGCAAAATACAATGTTGCAGAAGAATTGGAATTGGTTGGAAGAATTAACTCTTATTATACACCTTTCATACCATTCTCTATAAATTATTACCAAGATGTCCTTCGACATCGCATAAACCTCCGTTAAGGCAAAATCGTGCTGCAGATTCGCATAGCTTACCGCAAGACTTAAGAATCTGAAAAATATATGAATAGGGCATTATTTGTTATATACTGTAACTTAATACAGTAGCATGTGACACATATGTAATATCATGCTTATCGTACTTCATTCATATATTGCAATGTTGTATTCTGAGTATACTCGTCCAAGCAATCAGTTGCATAATTTTTCGCATTCTTCCGACATGGAAAACACTCGTCATAAATTCGTTCATTATCAACAACCGTCAATCGTTCACATTGTTCACCTGAAGGAATCATCGTTACATTTAAGGTCACATCATCTCACCAGATACTTATAAATTATTACACACTGGAAAAAAAAAATATTAATTTCAACACAATAGAATTGATAATATCTGAAAATGAAGACTAAAGATTGATATGTGTATTTTTGTACCTTCAAAGCTAGTAGCTACTCCGTAAACATTACGTGGCGGACAATTGCATCTGGCCTTATAGATCAATTCTCCATCACTATTATTAAGCATTAACTCGTTTATACAAATACCACCGTTAAAACAAGTGTAATCTTTACATGGTAACACAATTTCGCACTGCAATCAAATAATGTTTGCTTGCAATTAAATATTCATTCCAAATTAATAGTTCAAAGGTCACTATCATATCAAAATAACATTCGATAAGATATAATTTCCTGCAAAATACATTGAAATAAGATAAGAATAAGATAAGACAGTTTAGTCAAAATTACCAATTTGAAAATTTAAATAATCTTATTAATAAAATATTCCAAGAGCAATTATAAAGAACTGTTTGATGATAATATAAAAAATGATAATATAACAAAAGAGTGAGAATGTAATGAACTCTTTTTCCAGTATAATGTTCTTGACACTGACAATCACATTCCATGGTACCATCTGTCATATTCATAAATTTGCCAATTCCTTTATGTAGACAATAATCTTGCTCACATTTACGCAATTCTTCAGAATATTCGCATAATGAACCTGTGAAACCTTGTCGACACCAGCATCTGAATTAGAAAATTTATTCATAGTACACAGAGAAAAACAAACGAAATTCCTGAAACCTAAAAGTTAAAAAAATCCGGTTAATTACTTATACATAAAATAAACATACTCATATTGAACCCATTGCATTACTTTTGTATCGGAAAAATTTCTCGTATCATTGCTTTCTTCCATAGTAGTCACGATTTGGCGCTTTTGTTGAATACTGTAAATATTGTTAACGGCCTACTGATCATTTTTGAAATGCTTATCATCCTTCTAACATGTTCACTATAGTAGAATAAAGAAAGTTGGGAGTAACTGTATCAGATAATGATTGATTCGATTTTCCCACAGATCATTATTACCTATAACATGTTGCATCATTTTGACATAAATTCTTTTCGCAACTTGTTTGATCAGCCAAAAATTCGCATGTTTTCCCGTAATGAGTTGGAAGGCATTGACAATAATAGCTAAAATCATATTAATAACTGAAGTAGTGATAATCATTTTTCAAACAATTATATCACCTCTACTTATGCATACTTATAATAAGCTGATAGTAGGTAAAGTTAACAATTACATTAAGTTAAAAATTTGCATGTATAATTTGTAGTTAGTTTAACATTTCTAAATTCCCTAATTTCATTAATAAAATAATTCCAGTTATGAAACGGCTAAATTAGATATAATTATGAAACGGCTAAATTAGATATAATTATGAAACGGCTGAATCAGATATATCAGTTTACAGCTTCTAATTAATTTTCATTCGTCTTATTCCATAGAATTGTAACAGTTAGAACTTCCACGATAGAAATTTACCATAAAAGGAAAATTTTAGAATACAAAAAGAAAAGTCATATTTGAGAGCAATTATCGTCTCTAAATTTATTACCGTATAAATTCACTTCAAATTTAATTTCTTGTGATACTAATGAAACTTTCGAAATTTCACATTTCATATCAAACTGTCTTATACTATCTTATACTATGATTATTCATAATTCAGTCAGTGTCTTTAACATTAATGTATAGTTCTCGCATATACTTTACTGTAAGGATTGAACATTTGAAAGAACGAAAATTTTTAAAATTTTGATATTTTGCAAAGACAAAATGAAAAATGAAAATTTTAACAATGAATCATAGATATTCAGAAATGTGAGAAAGTGCGAATGAATGAATTTTAGGAGAAAAAAAAGGGGAAAAATCTTACGCTCCTTTTTTTGATACGCATGTACCACCATTTTGACAAAGTTGTGTAATTTTACAAGGATTAAAATTTGTCACTAAATCATCGATTTTTTGTCGTCGATGTTTCGATTCTGGTATATTCGGTATCTTCGGTAAGGTATGAAATCTTCTCATCAATGATACACTACGATCCAATTCTACATTCAATATTCATTCATTTGCTACTTATTGTTACATGGAAATCATTTAAAAACATAATTAAACCATTTCAATAATGATGGATTTGATAATGATGAAAAATTTAGGTACTTCCAACAGATGGCTTTCTTCTTCGTTTTGCTTGATATTCGAAACTAAATATGCCACAAATTACAATGCCTAAATTATGAAAATTATTTGAAAGCTCATTCATGAAGACATGTCGCTACAAATGATCCCAAGAAAGCATTGATGCAAAGTATTGATGGCCAATGAATCAATGGATCGGGATTCATTAGGGACAAGAGAAATGGGTTTAAGTTAATGTAAGGTATTAATTATATGGGAAGTATTTAAATAACATTTTTAATAGAGATAGATAAAGGGAAGGAGAAAATTCGAATTACAGAATAGAAGAAGTTGGAATAGACCGATCGCTTTCATCGTTTATTTTATAATTGAAAAATCCTGCAGTATTTTTGAAAGGATTGCAAGTCTATATCTCTGATATTTGTTCTTATGAACTTTTCATTTTTCAATTCTGTAACTTGTTGAACGACTCCATAACTATTTTTAATTAATATCCAATAATTTGTGCAATTATATATATACCTTTATTAACAGCTTATCATGTACGGCAAGTTTTCTTCAAATAAGAATAAAAGATAAACCAGAAGGACATTTTTGGCGTTACGACAAATTTCATTGCATACTCAGACTGGCATCTAAAGAATGAATGAGCAGATTGATGATCTTTAACCCGAAATGAGGTGGAAAATAATGCTCGATGTTAGGTTGTTCAAAATTTTTACTTCCATCGGAAACTGATAAATTTTTTTCTTAGCGTCACTGTTAAATGTGTTGATTATTGATAATATGTGTTTATCTTTCTCCCTCTCTCATCACCATCAGATATCACTCATTTCTTTATCGAACATACCAGCTTGTTCATTCATAAACTGTAACTATTAATTTCTTTCTTCTTCATCTCATATTTCCATGAAACTATAATTGTTGCATTTCGGGACCGACACTCTTTGATGTCATTTAAGCTCACTTCGTGGTAGTTGGAGCGCATCGTGTTAGACTTCTGCTCGGTTAGGTGATAGCGTAGGAAGGTCTCGTATGAGTGATTAGTTTTGAAAAACGAAGTATTTCAGGCAGAAAACAAGAAGTATAAATTTGCATGTCATTCAATGAAAAGATGCATCCCAGAAATCCATACAGGGATAAACCTCCCGATTTCAGTTTACTCGCAGATAAATTCGTTGAATTTCGATCCCATTGCTATATTGGATCAAATGGAAAGGTAGAATGTTTGTATTACTATGTTAACATTTTTGTGATCTCTCTTACCAATGGTAGATGCGATTTTTAGGTAGTCGTTGGAGATTTCATCTTATTCTATTCTTTAGTATGCGGTAGTTTAAGTGCATTTCATACATAGATTCTTTCATTAATCACTCTTGCATGGTGATTCCTTTTTTTACAATCATTTGCCGTCGTTGTTTTTAGTCGAGGATATTGTCATTTTCAGCTGAAAATGAATTTCCGTGACACAAATGCTGTACGGATTCTAGCTCGAACTTTACTACTCAGTGATTTTGGATTAGATGTTGATATACCTCCTGATTGTCTGGTACCACGTATACCGCAACGCCTTAATTATATTCTTTTCATTGATGACTTGTTAAAAGCGAATGGAATTTCCGAAAATGTTCTTGGCATCGATATTGGTAAATATTTTTTTATCCATCCGAAAAGGGTAATTCTAAATGTGACGTTTTACAATAAATGCATATGGAAAATATAAGAGTAACCTGTGAAGGCCAAATTAAATGATTTCTAGAAAATACTTGAAAAACTAATCTTATCGGGAGCATGAATTATTTTGTTACATAGAGACTCCGATTTCGCATCAATTTTTCCAAAAACTTTTGTCTTAACTCTACACTAGCTTTCTAATCAAAAAGTTATGGGCAATATCTAAATGATAGCATTTATGAACTTTTCGAATTTCCTGTCTTCAAATTATACTTTTCCATATTTATCTGCAGCTGGTGCAATTGATTTCAGCATTGCTAGCCAAAAACAATAGTAACGCTCTTGGGTCATAATTTTTTTGCAGTATTCAAAAGTATTAAATTTTCTGATCTTACTAGAAGTTCAGGGACGGGTGCATCATGTGTATATGCATTGTTGGGCGCGAAACAGTTTGGTTGGAGATTCCTGGCAACTGATGCAGATCCCTTCGCGATTGAGGTATGCAGTGTTATAAAAGCAGTTCAAAAATTCATTTACATCTGTTTTGATGACGGATATTATTTTTTTTTGTAGATCGCAAGTCGAAATGTAGAGAAAAATGATATGAGCGAGAGAATTGAGGTTGTGCGAGTACCAGCGGACCGTATGATTAAGGTGACAATTTTGTTTAGCTTAATATTTTGCAGAGAAGTTTGCCATGATATGAATCTTGGATCTTTCAGGATGTTCTTCGTTCTTATCCAGAAACCGAATTCACATTCTGCATGTGCAATCCTCCTTTTTATGAGTATGATGAATTTGAAGAGGTATTCATTGATCACTAAAAAAAAAATTTTCTAGTCATTAAAATTTTAGGATTTCTGAAAAAAGTTTTATTTTTTAGAAGTTCAAATACTTAGGAGATAATGTGTTGACAAATGTTGGTGGATCGAATTGTGTGCATCGCCCGGCACCTCATTCAGCTACTGTTGCTCGGAGTAACGAATTGGCTGTTACGGTATAATTTTACACACAATTTAAGAAAGTTTGGCCACCATTTTTATTTCTTTACCTTCAGCGTGATGCGTTCATTTTTTGACAAAAATTAAAAACATCAAATTGAAGGTTAAAGACTGAAGAAATTATAATGCAGAATCTATTTCAGCTTTTAATACCTTGATTAGAAACATTACTGTTGAAACAGGTTGTATTTCAGGGTGGAGAAGTTGCATTTGTTTCTCGTTTAATTGAAGATAGCTTCGTTTTGCAAAACTGCGTTAAGTAAGTTATTGTCTTTGTATTTTTTCATATATTTGTTTTTAACTTTTTTTAAACAGTTCTAGTTTTCTTTTATAGGCTGTATACATCAATGGTTGGTAAGAAATCAAGCCTTGTTGAACTCCGGAAAAAACTAGGACGTTGTTTGAGTGTACGTTCAACAGTGACGACACTATATCAAGGGAAAACGCATCGCTGGGTGCTTGCTTGGACTTTCGAAGCTCGAATAAAATTGGATAAAGTTAGATTTGGCTTAGATTTTTTTTTGATTGTGTGATACTGCATTTTCAAACTTCCGATATTTAACGAATTTTTAGTTGGCGAAATGCACACCACCACTAGAGCTTTATTTGCCACCAGTTTTGAAAGGTAAAGAAAGTTCATTCGCTTGGATAAGGGAAGTATTGGGTTTGCTGGAGGTATGTTCTCTGATTTTAAGTTTTTTCACTGTAACAATGTTTGGAGATCTCAACTACTGTTCGGTGACTAGTTTTATCTTCCAAGTTATATTTGGCATCTCGCTGTTTTTTTTTTACGCTATCCTTAGTAAAGAAATAGTCAGAATTATCGTTGACAAAGTGAAACTGCGGTAAATAAACTACGATAAATCACATCACTTCTTTTGACTAGAGTAATGAATAGAAAATGACTTCATCCCAATGTGTCTCTTTTTAAAGATCGTTTTTGTAGGTGTCTTGTGAGAAACAAGATAGCAGTAGCTTTTTATGTGAAGCTGTCAGGAACACTTGGTCACAGCAGCGACAGAAACGACGTGCAGAAAGAATCTCAGGCGTTTGCCCGCCTTTGAGTAAACGATGCTATCACGGTCGAACTGATGTTGGTTGCACAGTTAATTTGGGTAGCGGTGATGGCAGAGACAGTTATAGCAATGCAGGGAATTTTACGGAGTGTACAGTATTTAGTGATAACAGGAAAAGTGGAGATACACGTGATGTATCTGTGCAAGTTAGTTTTAAGTTTTTTATGCTGATTATTTGCTTTTCTAATGTTTCTTATTGAATATAACATATAACTCTTTAATTTTAGGCATATGTGCCATTGGATAGTGAATTGCAACCATTAATTCGTTTTCGATTAGTAATATATCCTTCTGAGCATTGCTTGAAATTATATTGGTTGGAGGGATCGCGTCACTGTTTGCATCAAATATGGCAGTTTTTCAGAAATCAGCTTTCCAAATTGGAAAAATCAATGCAGTCTTCATCATCTTAGATTTTTCATATTTGGATTTCAAGTTATTAGCGAATTTCAAGTTCATATGCGGTCGTTGTTGAAAACAATGCTCAAAGCTAGATTAGGATAAGCATTATCTACGCAGCATATTTCAGGACATTTTAGTTAACCCTTATTTTGCTTACAATCAAAAAACAGCCATGAAAACCAGGGAGATAATCATCTCTTTTGCTCCAAATGTTTCCTAAACAGTTCGCTATCCCTCACTGATTTAAATTTTAAAATATAAATTTTACTAATTTGAGGTGTTTTGTTTGACTTTGTACAAATCTGTGAATACAGTTTGATATTTAAGATTCATGAGCAGCTCTTATTTTGAAGCAGCTGAGCACCTCTTATTTTTCTCTTTGTAACATTTCATCTTTAAAATCTTGTGTAAACAGCTAATGGTTCCCTAGTTTGCTTGGTTTTTTAGAACGTCAATTTTTCGGAACATTCTTATAGTGGGAGGGAAGGAGTGCAAAGCTGTCATTTATCGTTTGTGCTTTGTTATATATAATGATTACTATTAATGAGATCAAAATATTTTGTATTTCTTACGGGTTTTGTTTTCATATGTGTCATTTTCCTGAAAAATGTCTAACTTTGTTACTATATAAAGTTCGGTAAATGACTTCCATCAATTTTGTGGTATTGTTGTTACTCGTTTTTTTAAAGTTGTCGATTCATTATTTTTACGCGTTTCGCTAAATGCTTTTTTACGGAGAAAATTTCTCACCTTACCGAGGTTACATATCTCCGCTGTAATTCTAAAATTAAGTTGTTCAAACTTTGCAGTTTCTGTTCTGGTTTTTGATGCCCTATGTCCAAATAGTACAATGAAAAGTGGAAATTAAAATTTGACTAGCTTTAATATCATTTATACATTAAATAGTACGTCTACTGTACGTTCATGCCGACCGTTTGACTTATAAATTCACTGAAAAAGATCCACTTGAAGAATGAGTGCTAGTGGAAAATGCAAGCTTAACTTAGGCGATTGTTTCGTAATTATTTATTGTTAGTTCTGTAGCAGCAATCATAGTTGCGAGTGAATCATTCCTTCGTTACATTAGTTGTGAGTGAATCATCCCTTCGTTGCTACTACAACTGTTACAGAGTAAAACTATTTACTGTAGCACTGGGAATATGTTATATAACGTAGTGCGGCCTCCAATTATAAACAGAAGATTGCCAATCTAGTATTATCGGTATAGCTTTAGTGTTGATGCGGAGCTGCAGTGATGTTTGAAGTGGTAGGAGGATGAACATTTATCATGACTAATGTCGTTTGTTTTAGATAGTAGTAAATCTTCGACAGATTTGCAAACGGAAAATAGAGTACTCGCACTCTTCCTGACACGTTATATGTTAATTTTGATGTGAGTTAAATGGAATGCTTGCTAGTATGAAGACTTCTAATACGTGCAATGCAATATTTTCATCTCATTACACTGTATATATTTTTTCAATCACTTATTTCCAAAACGGTATTGTACTTTCTTCCATATTTCATGATAGTTGATGGATGTTAGACATTACTGACCGATGGTAAAGGAGAAAGGCGGGAGGTTATACTGAGGAATGTAGCGCAAATGATTATTTCTTGGGTGAAGATTTTTCTAAATTATTGATTTTTCCTTGTTGTTCGTTGATGTCTTCTGAATATTGAAAGCAATGATGTATTGAAGATGAAACTTTGTCCTTCTCATTTGTGACATGTTACTAACTTCCAAGAAAATTTTTGTGTTCGAGATTTTTAAGAAATTTCTAACCATGTCGTACGGTCTTGGAAGGTGATTGAATATTTTATTTTGGTTAAAAAAAATACTGGAATGGAAAATAAATTAGGATATGCGGTTCAGAAAAAGCGTATATGGTTAATTAGTGCTAACAATTAGTGCTATTATTTCTCTGTAGGAGTTTTGGAAATGAACAAGAATCGGATGAGACCGTGTTCGATAATTCGATTACATTTTGAGTTATGCTGTTCACCTGAACAATTGCTCTAAAAATCTGTTAAGCAATGGAAGATCTCGGTGAGTTGTGTTAATTATTCTCATTCTTTGAAACCTTTGTGCATGATGTTTTTTGTCACTTTCTAATTTCGGGTCAATAGTTTTCAATGAGGTTATTGAGGTTATTATTAAAAGTTATTGAGCGTTTTTTTTTTTGTACAGTTTACTTCTTAGTTTTAAATGAAGAATACTCTTAGAATCACATAAGTCTTTTTACAGCATAAGTCGTTTCTCATATGATTAAGTGTGACAGTCATTTAATATCTTATGGAGCCAACTATTTCTTTTATATTCTTGAATATTTTCTTTAAAACTTTCTCAATTATTTCATTGTTACCGATTAGATACCAGGCCAAAATTTCTGATCTTTATTTTATGTCTTGATAAAACTTGGATCAAATAATCTCTGCTTTGCGTAAAAACAAATGATGTAAATTGCATTTTTCTTTCGCCGTTCCTCGCCTGATTAATATCCATAGTTAGGGTTGAATTTTTTAAACTAGGTTGAGCCCATGAATTTATGATTTGCAAAACTCAATCAATGATATCGGCTATCCTTAATAATGATGATACACTAATTTGCTCAGAGTACTGAATTTTTTTAATCGATTCAAGACAATTCAACAGAAATGTCAGTACTGACATTTTTTAATAATTTCTCTTTCTTTTGCATTCACTGTTGAATAGATTTTTATTTTAACATTTATTTTCAATTCTTCTAAGTTTACCGTAGGCATCTTCAGCATCTTTAGATATCATCTAAAAACCTAACATATTTCGTGCATTGTGCTTTAAAAATTAAGAAGGAGATAGCTTGTTATACACTGCATTTTACTTGAATGATTAACCTAAAACTAAAAACATCAACTAAACTTCTGTCGCTAAGTAGACTTTTCTCATTGTTTATTAATTAGTTCCTTCTAAGACATTTGCTTTATTTCTTCAAGAATTAATGAGTTCATCATCTAGAAATTTTGCAGTTCCGTTTGCCTTGAGCTGAATAAAATTGTTTGATGTTCTCATTTCATAATACGGTGTCTGTGCACCGGTGATAGTTGCTCTTGTGCTATATATCCATTCAATTGAATCCTTTGCCGTAGGCATTATTCCTTGGAATATAGCAATCTACCATCATCTCATCGTGTTACTGTTGACTAACACGTCTAACATCTCTATTCCACCAACACGGGGAACATAAAACATTTTTTTTTGAAATAGTGATCAATAAAGTTTTGCATTATCTTTCTCTTAGTTCCTTTCTCACTTCTCTACGGATGTAGTAAGTCATCCTGTTATTAAAAGTGCAATCTATTCAACAGCATTCATTTTCTACTTGTTCAAGGAACTATGTGCATCCGTTCTATTATTTTAAGAATATAACTTCGTCAGTATCAATAACAATGTAAACAATTTCCTCTACTGAAAATATCCCAAATAAATTACAAAAAAAATTCGATTTCCGTATTATTCACTGATGTCGACGTCAACAAGCAACACTGGTCGCCCTTCCGTCACTTGGGCCGACGTAGCCGATTATACAAATGGTTTATTTTTGTTATTAGCTGTTTACTAATATAATTCCTTCAAGTAAAAATCTGATGATTTACACTTTGACAGCAGCGTAGCAGCATTTTCTTCAATTACATGCCACGGGTTGAGGGAGAGGCATCTAAATTATCTTTACATGTAAGGTTTCCTGGATTTACTTAAAATATAAAGAGAAAGAACAGCGTTCATAAGAGGTAAGAGATGGTTCAAGCTTCTTATTTATGTGTTAACTGTCTTGTTTGTTGTTAGTAGTAGAAGAATAATTTTATATCACACTGAATTGCAGAATGTTAAAATATTAATTAGCATACAACCATCCCGGTTGCATAAGTCAAAGAGACTATTACTTTTCTTATTCTGCTAATGTTATCATAGAATATTTGTCGAACTTCCCGAGTTTTTTGGCAGTTATGCATCGATGAACAGCATACATATATATAATGGACGTAAACTTTGCAGCAGTTGTTAGCTTTGAAAAATTTCATATATGCAGTACATGCTGCAGATGTGATGAGGAACAGCAATAACAGCAACACCTAGCTTAAATAATAAAAGTGAATCAAGCAGAGTGAAGAGTAGTTTCAGTTTGTTATTGCTCACACACAAGATTGAGAACTTTCAATTAAAGTAGAGGAGAAAGGAGGAGGTATAAGAGCAAAATCGCACAATTAAAGGATAAGTAAGCTTAGATAGCATAGGCACAGGTCATGGAAAACTTGCCTTTGCCCAAACTGTATTGATGATTTCGATTCAGATCCATATCTTATCATGTTACGTATTCGTACAAACTTAGTTAATTTCATCGTTACTGATAAGTGTTTTTCGAGCGAGCAACACAGGCAATGTCAGCATTAACAGAAAATAATTTTGTGGACACACTGAAATCTACGATGGGTTCGTATCTCTTAAAGCTCTTTTCCTATGTTGCCATTTTCAAGTCATCCAGTTTTGGAGCATTCATCATATTTTCTCTCCTTTTTCAGAAATGCTTCTTTATCTTGATAAGTTTGGAAAAATTTTAAAAATAAATCGTTAATCCTTTGGTATTTGCGTTGTAAATTGTGTTTTTTCTCAAATTTTTTTCCCGATTTTTAACAAGATTGTTAATATTTCCTGGAATATTTTTCTTCTGAGACTAGATTTTTTTATCTTTGTTTCAGAAGCTTTGCTTTCTGATCTACAACATACAACGGAGGTATTGAAACGAGCTAAATTTAACGGTCGTTGTTCATCCAATATATCCGATTTGGAGCCCGTTTATCAGGAACAAACTAGAAGGTATGCTATACAGTGTGGTTTGGTTTGCAAATTTTAATTAGTATTTTATTTCTTCAGCTCTAAACACTTATTAAATAATAAAGTAGTAAATAGTGGCAGAAACGATGCTTACTTCTATTTGAAATCAATTTTATTTTTAAATCATTTATTAACTGTTAATTTTCATTTGCGGTCATTGGACTTAACAATTTAATTTCAGTTACGGCAGTTCTTTTCATGGCTTGGACAGTATCGAACAAATGTTGGATGATTATTCACAAAAGAGGAGAAGTCCTGAAGGTGCTGTTTCACTGTCTTTTCATGTAAAACACTCTGACACGAATATGAATTTTCTAAAAGAAGCTTGGAATGCAAGCTTTCACATCAAATCGGTTGATTCTGTGTTACATGTATTTTTAAAGTAACATCATTTTCTTTTGTTTTCTAAAAAATATTTGCTTTGTAGTGATGTTTTGAAATTAAGAAGTTACGTAATTCACAGCAAAAGACTTACTGCTATTCACATATCTTTCAATATTAAACAAAAAGGAAAAGAAAAATATTGTCAACAACATTTCACGTCTAATTTTTGGTTCTTTATTTATTTTTACAGATGAATGCTATGCGAATTCTTTAACAAACCAAGCGGAAAGGCCTACAGTGCAAAGCTTGTTTAGAGAGCTTGAACATGATAGGTAAGGAAATAAGTTCAAAGTAGAGAATTAAATATCTCCAGACAATATTCTTTTTCTGTTTTTCTGAGTTCTCATGCCTAAACACCTTGCATTTATTAATAATTACAAATTAGAAGTATTTGTGATATACTTTTAAATTCATCGACGGCAGTGAATCAATAAAGAATCCCATTGGTTGTTAGGTCAGGAATGTCGAAACATTATGGTTGTCATCCTCATGTATTTTGATTGATAAGAAATAGCAAAATTGAAATTCAATAATAATGCAACGTTTAAAAAAATATTTTTAAATTCTTTTCAGTTGCAACAGAAGTGTAAGTGGTCATTTATCGCAATCATCTGGTAATGTCCAGGTATTTTGCTCGTTCAACTTTTTGCGATCTATTTTTTTCATTTAGAGTGAATTTTCTTCGTAGTATAATTAACAGAAAAAAGTTGATGTTTAATTTTCTGTCACTTTGTACTCTGCCACATGTTTGCTGAAAAATAGCACATATGTCTTACAATGCAGAGTGAAAGACTCATGTCCCACAATGCAGGATACATCTTTCAAGTTCGTTAACTTATCTCTCTCACAATAAATCTTTAGAAAAAAATTCAGTTAGCATAATTGGATGCTTACTGAATTTCTTAGCTCATATATAAACCAGTTTATCGGTGCAAGAGATGTTTTGATTGTTTATTTCATTCTTTGCAGTAGCAGTTCACACTTTCTAATTTCTCATTCACGCACTTCACTTGGTAAACGGTCATGCACATAATGTTATTAGGATCGTCATATCCCATCGTTCAGGCGGTGCTTCCCTATGTCCTTCACGTAGCATGTCTTTATTTGATATGTCGTGCTCGTGGGCTTTCTGATATAAACTCATTTTGCTATAGAGAGCCCTTCCGACCAAACAACCACATTATCTTTTTGGGTTGTCCTGAGCTTTCGGGCATATGTATATCATTGCTTTCTATTCTTTATACTCATTCCCATTCTTTATACCGTCTGAGGGGCTAACTTTTTGGTTAATTGCTTCATATTATTAAATCAGGAATAGAAATGTCATTAATGCATAATTTATAGCAGAACTCGCCGACGGGCGATCCGCTTCAGCTGGATTCGATGTTGGGAACACTACAAAAAGATATGTCAAAGCATGGTATCAGCACGATTCCCAAAGGCGATTGCGCTTCATGTGGAAAACCGATTGTTGGACAGGTTTTTTTTATTTTTCATATTCTTTTTGTGAAATGTTTTTGATTGCCTTTTCAAACATAATACACTTTGTGGTTCAATTTCACTTTTAGTTTCAATACTCTTTCTGTGTCTCCAGTGACTTCTAAATACCTACTACTTGCTGTTAGTTAAAACTTAAAATGAAGAAAAAAAAGAGTGTACGACGTTACCTAATAATTAGAATCTCTTTTAGTCTCTCCTGCTATTTTCTGCTAAAAGTTGTTAAATTCCACTTCAAAATTATGAGATTATGAATTTTTTGCTTGTAAGAATGTCTGATAATCGAATGTGGACAATTAATTACAGGTGGTCATAGCGCTGGGTAAAATGTGGCATCCAGAGCACTACGTATGCTGTCAATGTGGTGAAGAGCTGGGACATCGGAATTTCTTCGAGCGAGGTGGTAAAGCATACTGTGAGAATGACTATCACGATATGTTTTCTCCCCGATGTGCATATTGCAATGGGCCAATCAAAGATGTTGGTTGTCAAATCTTTGCAATTTTGACGTTATGTGATAACCATTTGCAGGCACACCAACTAATTCTTTTTTTGTTTTGTAGCGATGTGTGACGGCACTTGGTAAAACATTTCACGCAGAGCACTTTGTATGTGCAGAATGTGGCCGCCAGTTTGAAGAGGAGGGATTCCACGAAAAAGTAAGAATTTGTAATAAAAAAAATTGTCTTAGGATGCTTAAACATATATATGCTTTAAAAATTTCATGTTTAACTTTAACACTTAAAGTTTCGGACTGAGTACATTCAATCAAAATTTATTTACCAACATCACCTTCCTTAAGTTTCTTATAATGGCCATCATGTATCAAAAAGTCTTATTGTGTTTTAAAAATTCACCACGTTAATCTTTAATTGCTTTTGGTCAAGGATGATCAAAGATATCATCTTTGATATCCACTAATGCGATTTTCCTTTTTTATTTGGGAATAATATATATTGCATTATTTCATGTTTCTCGTCCGCATACAGAGATATAAAAAGATTTTTGTATTTAGAACAAAGAGGATTGATTGTCTTCTATAATGATTTTACCAAAAAAAAATCTGTTCCCAGCATGTTTTGCAGAACGGTAAACCTTACTGCAAAACGGATTTCTTCCGAATGTTTGCACCGAAATGCAATGGTTGCAAGAATCCGATAAAAATGCATTTCATAACAGCACTGGGCACACACTGGCATCCTGAGTGCTTTATTTGCCAGGTAATTTTTCCAAAAACAATTCCATTTAAAGTTTAACAAATTTTTTTTAAAGTGTGAAGGCTTCTGAAACTTTGCTTCTATTATTTTTGTTCTTTTTTTCCCAGCATTTGTGAATAACAAAGCTTTTAATTCAACAAAATTCTTAGTGTGGTGTTATTTCTAAACATTTTCTCCTTCAGTAAGTTCTGGTAGCTCTCTCATCCTTGGAGTAGGGCATGAAAATAGCCCATGGGTAAGTTGAATTAATTTTGTTGTGGCTCTTAGTGCGTTTTCGGTGCGCATATGTGAGCAGTAGCAGACTTACATCTTCCCTGTAGCAGAAGGCCATTCAGGGATTGAAGTGTTATCCTTTTTTGAATTTCTTTTTGTCCCTTAATACTGCTACTGTTAGGATTAGTGATATACCTGTCTATCGTGTAGTAGCAGGAATATTGATGAGTGATTTTAGGAGTGTGGAAAGGCTTTCGAAACAGGATCATTTTATGAGCATGGTAATATACCACTGTGCGAAATGCACTATCACGAGAAGCGTGGTAGTTTGTGCGCTACTTGTCAAAAGCCTATTAATGGCCGATGTGTCTCCGCCGTGGGACAGAAGTTTCATCCCGAACATTTCTGCTGCTCCTACTGTCGTAAGCAGCTGAACAAGGGAACATTCAAAGAAGTGGATCGAAAGCCATTCTGCCATAAATGTTATCAAACAACCCATCCCTGATTTTTTTCGCATAGGTTTTGGGATGTTTTCGACATCTTACTCAGTTTTTTGTATCATTTTATCGCGATGCGCAAAATTACCTTTACAGCTTTACAGCTTGTTCGAAGCTGAGTTCCCTATACTTCTACGCTGTTTAAGCAACAAATATGAAGTGCATTCCGTCTATTCTATTCCGAGGAATTATCCGGATAGTATAGTTTTGTTTTCGGCCATAACGTTTTTTTTTTCATTGTCGTTCGGTTAATGATTTTCTCGTGCTGTTTTCACTTCACTGTGATTTGCTTGCTTGTGCGCAAACCTTCAGTTTTTATTCATTTAACTTATTTTTTGTCTTGTTGAACTACGTATGCACCATTGCTTAAAAAACCCACTCCGACTCTAATTAGTAATATTCATTTTTTTAAGTCACGTGGCTTGAGGCACTTAGATTCATATCTTATTTGATTATGTTGCTATATTAGTCTCCTATTAGTGAAGATTTTTTAGTGTTCTCAAAATTAGAGGTGCTTTTGGAAGTCAAAGAGAAAAAAAGCTTTGACGCCTAACTCCATCCTTGTTTCCCTCTATTTGTCGTTTTAAGTTGTTAAATATAAAAGTAATTGATATTGATAAGTTTTAACTTTCAAAAGGCGAGGAGAGACACAAAGATATTGCTAGATTCTGTAGGAATCTTTGCTGCGGTGGCTGATGCTGTGATTTAATAATCAAATTTAATTCGTTTGCCATCGCATTATTTAACTTAATTTCTTTAACATCCTTGCTTTGTTGTTTAATCACATAACAAGAGGAATGCAGTTTGCATATGATTTGTCCAAAATCTTTATTAATTTTGAATAAATACAATTGTCCTCTAGTGCGAAGCAAGATTATCTTAAAGGCAGTTTAATGTTGCAATTTTTCTTTTGCCTTCTAGGGGAATGAATATTTTGCAAGGCGATGTCCGATGCACATCATATATTTCGATGAGGAGGAAGAGAAATAATTGAAGTGATTGGGGTCTCGAGCCATGTTACATCATATACATCCACAGTTATCAGTTATTCCAGCAACATGAATATGCAAATTATTCGCATATGGCACTGATTGGTGATTGCTTTGTTGCTATTTTCATATATTCCTTAAGTATGATAAAACATTTGATATTAGAATCAAAACTATCCGACAATATATACTGTTTTCAAAAGTGTAACAATGATTTATATTTGGCTAAGTTAATGAGATATGAAGAAAATTTTGCTTTTCTAGTTCGCTTAGTGGTTGAGAAATGGAAATGTATATACTTGTCATTTATCGTTTAACCCATTCCAATTCCAGTATCACAATGTAGAGTTTAGAATATGTTGACGCCAATAGATACAGGTAATTCTACTGTTCAGTTGATACTTGGGTACTGGAACTCAATGCATTGTATGGCAACACTTTGTGGGAACATTCAAGAGTGTATTTTTTTACGTAAAGGTAAAAACACATCAAACAGTTGTATGTGCTGAAGGGCAGTTTATTGAAGTATGCCTTATCTGAGCAACAATTAACTATATTTCATTCAATAGAATTTTCAAAGGAATAATCATTTAAGCAAAGAATTTTCTCCCTGAGGTTCATCCCGATTTATATTATCATACTCATTTTTTATTAACTGGAATAGTGCCCTATGAGAACCATTTGATCGATTTTTGTGATGGCAAACATAAATGGATGATTGGCAATAAATTTGATATGTCCACCTTGCCATAGAACGGTTAACTTATCGTTTGGTATTTCATGAGTGCTGTTTACCGGATATGAACCTTTCTCATTAATCTGTAATAAGAGGGAAAGAATGAATTGGTATTGAGTAAGCAAAAAAATTTCCGCATATTAATAGTATAATTAATGAAATTGATACTTCACCTCAAATTGTGTTTTTTGAATAAGCGTCGAGACATGCATCTTTTGAACTGAAATAGCGGGGAAGTCAGCACGACTGGTAAATGCTTCCACTATTCCGAGATTTGCCAGCGGTAAATTCAATTCGAAATGATTTTCGATGGAAAATCGAGGTATCTCAACCTTAATACTATTGAATTGAAACAATCAAGACATTTTAAGGAATCGTAGTAATGATTTTACGGTATTTCTCGTGATGAACAATATAAACTAATGAACCTATTATTATTTCTTACAGCTGCAACTAATCATTTAAATATGTCTGTTCATTCTAAATGTTTTACCTCCCGCTGATAATGTGGTAGATATGCAATTGACAAGATCAATCATGCTTAATCTTCCCGTTATGGATGATGGGTAGATTGTTTTCTCATCTAACTGATCTATTCTCTTAATTACTTAAAATAGTGTTTCGTTTGCTCAATGAAAATTTTTTCCTTTAAGTTACAACCAACTGTATGTTCTAAAAAATTCAAATTAAATTTCGCACAGATAATGAATGTGTCATAAATATTTTAAAAGAATTTTTCAATTTACTATTAATTTCACCATCACTTTAATTATGAAGTTTACCTCAACATCCATTATTCTGCATCTCGCAATCAAAAATAAAAGGCGACGTCCAGTTAATTCGCGTACAACATTTCTTAATGCAAATTTCTCTCGTGGTAAAAATATATAAAGAAAAAGATTTGAATTCAACTCATAAGGAAGACCGAGAACTTGGACATCAGCATCTTCGGTGTATTTAAATTTATCAAATGCCCACATAGACATCATTTCCACCTGCAACAGTTACATATGGAAGGATAGGACAAATGAAATCCATCGAATTACCATAAATCTTAGGCGAAGATTACAATGTCTTATTTTGACCTATGCTGCTTCTCATCCATTTTTATCCTTGTGGGTTTATTTTTGAAGTCAGAGAGAGAGAACTAAGAATTTATGGATACTTTCAAAAAAGGTCAGCAAATTCGTCCGTTGTTTTGTTTCAGTATGCCGTACTGTCACTGAAACTTTGCAATCAGCTAGATGTGAATAGAACTTACCCGAGTGATAGTATGTTCATTGACATAAAAATCTTTCGCAGTTGTCCTCCTCTCATCAAATGGATAATGCCAAGCAGCGTTCAAATAAAAGCTATCGACAAGCATAAAATGCCAGCCTACATCATAAACATTTCTTGTAAAAATTTTAAACTCTGATTTCGTTTGATTTGCTATCCATCGATTGATAAACTAAAAAGGGCTGATAAGTGAGTTGAGTGTTATCAACATCTTTTGATATCATTAGTCAGAAGAATCAACATTGAGTGTCGCTGATTTTGAAAAGCCTATATTTCACTTTCTCTCTTTCATAACTATCATTTTCATGCTAATTATATCTCTGATAATTACAGTTTCATCAAGTCTACAATTTGTCCATCTCATCGCCCATTTTTTCACAAAGAAAAATTAATTTCTTTTTACGTATTAAACGTAAGAAAAACCAACCGCAATAGTAGCTGATCTATTTTTGCAATCGAACTGAAGTATATCAGCCATATAATCTCGTGCTATTTCAATCATAGCATTGCTTATTGGACCACGATCATGATCACAAAGATGTAAAACAATTAGGAGGCCTGGTGCTATTGTAGCACCACTATTTCCAACCAGTAATCTGTTGGCTAACAATGAGTAATATTTCTGTACTGCACTATTACTGAAACCTGAAGAATTATTTCTATAAGGATGAAAATGAAGTAGAAGTGATTAATATGCAATCAAATAGCAAAAAATGAAATTCTGATCAGACTGATCAGAAATTTACCTGGAAAAGAACTGTTCTGATCTGATCAGAATTAAACTGATCAGAACAGTTCTCTTCCAGGTAAATTTTCCTCCCTAAATATAGCAGAGAAAAAAAAAAGATAACTTTCGCGAAGACATCATTTATTTGCAATCTTGTAGTACCACTTGCAGCAGCACTAGTCAATGATAATGTTATCGCCAATGATAATGGTGATAGTACCGCATTAATTTCTTCATCTGCTGTATTTGATAAAAGACGAAGGGAGAAATTTGCATGTATCGATTGTATCGTATCCCTCGCATACCTATTATATCTCTCGTACGGATCATTTTAATTAAAAATATTTTGAACAAAAATGCTTATAACTAATTATAACTATAAATAAGCTATAAGACTTACTTGTCCAAATAGTAATTTAATTCATGTGCTGTTGCAATCTGTGTTGTAGGCCAAAATAAAATAAGCATTGCAAGAAAAGTGAATAACATAAAAGATAGGAATTGATGTGATAATACATTTTGATAATAATAATTGAACATAACAATGGTTTAAGTTGATGATGATAATATGATATGATATGATATGAATAAATGCTATGAATATAAGGAGAACAGTTGCAATTGTGATGATTGTAAGAAGCAGAAAAATGTCGTGAGGAATAGTGAATAGGAATATATATATATATATATATATCAGTGTGAATAATGATGATGCCCTTGTGCAACTTCTCTTATAAGCAAGCTATCTTCTTCCCTTTAGCTAATGAGAATACTTCAATTCTATCCAAAAATAAAAAATGGCAGCGTTTTAGTTACATATCGGTTGGTAGTTTCAACATTTATCTCTTCCTATTCCCTATACTCCACAAGTTGTGAGCAATATTTTAGCAAATCATTCAATTCTACTGGTCAAATGAATTCATTTGATAGCTCTATTGACTGATACTGACCTTCAAATGCTTTTCATCATTTTCCTCTCTTCATTTCTAAATTTAATTTCACACACCGATAGATATATGTATATTCGTCAAATTCTTAATGATTAATAAAATTTTCTGAAGTATTTCAAAATTGTTCTTATCTTTCTCTCTCTCTCTTTTTCCACCAACGATTTCTTTCTTCGTTTACATCATTCCTCTTCAATATCCTCACTTGTTATCCATTTATCATACTTCTCTCACAATTAATTCAAAAATTGCTTACAGTATGCTATACTGATGATATTCTTTCCTTCAAGCTGCCTATTGAATCATCCTTGCTAATTGCTCACTTCCTCTCTTTTGCATGCCTCAATTTAATCTCATAAGAGTTGATAAATGAAACCATTTTGATTTAAGGATGCTAACTTCAAGAAAACATTTTAGTAAGACAAGTTTATAAGTCTAAAAATGATTAATTTAATTTTTGCAGATGTTGTATGAAGGAGTTAAGATTTGGTTAATAGATTTGAATGCATGCCTTATTGTTGCAAATCATTTTAGGATGAATATTATTTTTCATCATAAGCCTTCTGTTGATTTGCGCTTTTGATTCACTACTTGATAATGCTCATTCTTTCATCACCAATATTACAACATGGATTTTCTCGCCATCTATTTCATTGACACAGTTATGATATGCGGTATGCCATGATGACTTTCTCATACTTCAACGTTTTAATGTATGATAACTAATATTAATTATCATTTTAAAATTAGAATTACAATAAAAAAAATGAGCATCATCGAGTCATAACAACAACTGTCATCTCTCTCCTACTATGATACTTCTCTCTGGAATTATCCTTACTTTTGTTACCGGAATTATCCATATTTCTGCACTCTATCATTCTCCCATTATGACACTTCTTCCGGAATTATTCTTATTTTATGACTGAAAATAATCAAATACGTAATGATAAGATGGCATTTCCGGAATCAGAAATTTCTGTTATCGCTTTAGAATGACTTCCGTCATAATACAGATATAATTGCACTAAAAACTAAAATTTCGATAAAAAGGAAACTTAAATTTATCATGCATTTGATTGCATATTATTGAACTAATTATACGAATAAATTACAAATGCAAAATTTGTAACTTTCTTTAGTTTAATCAACTAACTAAAAAAAATGAAGGTCATTAAGAGGTCAATCTTATTCCTCCATATTTTAGATATCTCTCAACATCAATAAACAAACTTTTGAGAATTAAACAAAATTACTTTCGCATAAATTTTTTTACAATCAAATTTTCTATTATATCACATTGCTATTTCAAGTCAAGTGGATCGAATATGCAGCTGGCAATTTCATTTCCGATGAAAATATCAAAATTTAAAATAGAAAAAAAATTAACTTGATGAATTCATTAAAAAAGAATAATGCGAGCGGATACATTTATATGTGCAACCAACCTTATCATCTAATCTTTTCTTTCTTTTGATATATTATTAAATTTGCGGCTTCTTTGAATTCTAACTTTATGCAGTGTTAAGTGTTCAGTAAAAAATGTATTTCGAAAGGTAACAGAAATTTCTCGCACTTTAAAAATCAAATTTTATTATATATAATAATATA